ATATATATTCATATGAGTGTTTGTTTGGTGTGCCTCTGTCTGAGTGTGTGTGTGTGTGTGTGTGTGTATGCTTCATGTGTGTGTGTGGTTGGTTTGCATTTGGCAAATGCAATCTTAACTAGACTCTAGTCGCTGTCTGCAATCCATTAAATTGCAATTTTAATTTGTTTAGCACGCGCTGCTCTCATTCTCTTTGCCAGTCACCTTTCCTCTCTCTCTCTCTCTCTCTCTCTTTATCTGCTTCTCTTTCTCTGCTGCTTTCTTCAGCTCTCTAGGCATTTGTTCTCTTCTCTGGCTTTTGTGTACCACATGGCGTATGCGTTATAGCCTTATAGCCACACATATAGAAACACACAGAAAAAATGCATGAACTCGCCCCTTGTCTGCAATTTTAATGCTGCTGTTTCTGATTGTTGTTGTTGTTGGTATTGGTGGTGCTGCCGCTGCTGTTATTCCACCTGCAGCTGCGGCTCAGACATCCGCCAGATACTTGCGCATTAAAAATTTAAATAAAATTGCAGAGAAAAAAGGGAATATACATGACTGGCAATTGGTATTGGGTTCAGGTTGTGCCTTACATATATGAAAATGGATATTGCATAGCTGTGCTGTGTTGTGTGTACGTGTTTAGCTATTTCAAACAACAGTTCAATTGCGTATAACAATAAATATTTGTCTATATATATATGTATATATATGTATGCTTAAATTCATTTTGCTGTCGATTCATTTCTATATAGAAACATACACTTTATCTTTATTGCTAATATGCAAGCGACTTTTATGCTTTCTTATTGAATTATTTTATTATCATGTGTGTCTTTTTGCTTTTATTTATTTAAATATGTATTTCTTAGCTTTGGCTATGAGTTGTAAATATTTCTGTAAATAAACGGCATGTAAAATTGCAAACAAAGTTAAGTATGTGTTAAAATATGTGTCGTGTACAAATGTGACGGAATTATAAGTAAAATACAAAGAGATCGTCTACCTCTATTGTCAGTCAACGTTCAAAAATGCATTAAAATTTGGTTTCTTGCCAATATCGACGCACATAGCCACAGCGACATCATCACATTCATTCAGTTTTCAACTATATATATTATTTTTAGCTGCCAAACGATTCTAAGCAATAAATATAACCAGCAGCAATGAGATAATGAGTTGAAAATCTAAACAATTCGCAGAAGCAGGAAGACTATGCCACATATACTAATATAATTACATAATTAATTGACATAAAGAAAATCTCTCGAGTATATCTTGATGTTATTGAGCAACTATTCCAAATTCGTTGCGTTCACAAATTTGTTGATCATTAGTGTAAAATTTGTAAGCCCCCCCAAAATAATAGAAAGAGAAACAGAAGAACGCCGCATGAGGCAGTCGCAAGGAATTTTTGCAACGTCAAATGAAGTGAATATCAACGAACGACCTTCAACATGAAATGCGACGTAAAATAAATTTATCTCAATTATATATATATATATATATATATATGTTTGTGTGTGTGCTACATATATCTAACTAAAATGTGTGTGTATGTGTGTGTGTGTGTGAGTGTGTGTTTCTTGTGTGTGCTTCTCATCTTGGCTCATTTGTGCTGCCCGCTGTTTCTACGGGCTGAGGGGAAGTTACTCCGACAAGACAAGACATGAGAAATTGTGGTATGTTTTATGGGTGTGTGTAGGTGTGTGTGCGAGTGTGTGTGTATGTGTGTGTTTGTTTTACATTCACCTTGGCAGCACACAAAAATTAAAAGAAAAATAAAAATTATTTTGATATTTGTGCGGCAAACGCGTAAAAAATAATGAAATATCTATCTGCATACAGTAAATACTAAGTAGAACGTACGGATTTGTGTGAAGAAGCCAAACAAATACAAATTTATTAAGTACTTTAAGCAAACTGCAATAAAATTCTTTTCATTTCCTTATTTTATTAATGACGTTATAAAATAATTGCGGTCATCTACAGTATAATTATAGACTGCTTGTGTGGCGTGAAACAAATGATGAACTTTTGATTTATATTTATTTTAAATTGCTTCAATACGATCAAGGGACTAACCATGTCATTCTTACTCGCATTGCACTGTGCTTTGAGAAATCTTTTGGCTAAATATACAACAAGATTGTTGCGCATTAAATGATGCCAACATGAGGCGTTGGCCAGACATTTAATGCATTTTTTGTTGGTCTGTGTTCAAATGTTTAAACAAAAAACATACATCAGAAAATATTTAACAGTACGTTTGCAATTTGTTTGGCTTGGCGCTTAGATTGAATTAGATGTGTAAATTGTATACATATTAAAAGTGTTTCACAAAACAAATAAAGCAAATTTCAAGTGTTAGGAAAGCTCTTATGAATTTTCGATCGAAAGGTTTGTTGTTTATTGCAGAGCAAAAATTTAAATAAATAAAAATTAAAAATGTATTTTTATAATTTTATTATCGTGTTTTTTTTCATACTTTTTTTTTTGAATTTCTGTGCGGTTTGGCAATTTCCGTTGCTGTTAAAAAGTTTTCATTTCCGTTTAGCCTTTAAAGTGTTCCATGTGCTGGCCAATTTAAGGCAAAGTTGGTAAATTGCTGAGATCATTTGCCAATCGCTGCTGGACCCAAAGCGGAAATTGAGAAATCAGCTTTCACACCATTAGCAAATAATTCAGCTGTGACAACAGTCAGACAAGAGCTCAGAGACGCACACACACTCAGGATAACAAAGGTGCCAAATAAAAGTGTGCAATTTGCCAGTAGTGAAAAAGGGTTTGGTGAGTTTTACTCACACCTGTAGCAAACGAATTTCCGTTTGTTGTTATTTGCCAATTTGAGAAAACAGCCTGGGAAATCGAGCCGCCACAGCGGCAACCCTTTTTTTTTGTTTTTTTTTTTTTTGTGCTCGCCCGTTGGATGGTGGGCGTGACGCAGGCGTTGCAAGGTGGCCAGACACTAAATCACGAGCCCGTGTGCGGTTACTCCCCAAAAACACACAGACACACACCAACACACACACACATCAGCCATCACACGCAAATACCCTGTGAGCAATAGGATTAAGGTTGCTGTTTAGCATTTGTCGTCTGCTTTTAGCCGTGTAATTGGGGATTATGAAAAGATCAAATCATAACTGTTAAGATTTGAGTCATTTGAACTAAGGATGGATTCAATCAAATATCCAAAATGCTGAAGAGCCTCATAGGCTCTAAAAAAATCCACACAAGTTTAATTCGCAGTTCTCCGCACATTTTTTACATTTCTATCTAAATTCTTTTTCTGCAGGGCACCTCTTAGCCGCTCAAATCGGTTACCAAAATTTTATTGCACATTGTACATTTTCTTTTTCGAAATTCTTTTTCTCGTTGCCCCTTTCATTTTTCAAATTGCTTCGCGCTTGCCATTTTTCATGCTACATGCTTTCTGCCTTTTATTTCGCCTTTTTGCTTCCTCTATCTCTCTCTCTCTCAGTCGCGCTATCTCAGTCTGTCCTTTGCCGCACATCCAACTACTTGACACTTCCGTTTCCGCTTGTGTTGGCCTGACATTGTCTTAGGTTTCTAAGCCAGTGCAAATTTTCAAAAGTAAGTCCACTGTAGTTAAAGTTACGCACACCCAAGACACCCAAACCAAACTTGCCCCTCAAATTTACGTTCATCTTGTGTGACGCTTATCCTTCAGCGCCTTTTTTATTCGCTGTTGGCGCCCAAACTTTAATATTGCCAAAAAAAAATAAGAAAAGACAAATAAACGAGGAAAAACATTTGCTTTCAGTGTTTTATGCGTGAAATTTATTGTTTCTGACAATGAAAATGGCGGCGCAAACGTTTCCTGATCACAGCCCGTCTTATCTATAGACCCTTTTTTTGTTCATGTTTTTTTTTTTTGGCTGCGCCATTGTCGTATTTTATTGAAATTCATGTATTTTTAAAAGCCTTGGCCATTTGGTAGCTGAGCCGCATTGGCTCTAAATTGTTTAAGCATTTGTTCTGTTTCAGTTTCAGCTACAGTTTTCTTTCCTGTTCTTTTTTTTTGTTGTATTATTTTGCTTGATTTTTAGCGATATTTTGTTGGTGTTTGGTTTGTTTTTTATCTGTGCATAAAAGTTAATGTTTTGCATCATGGCCCCCAAATGTTTATTGTGTCACTGCTGCGATTGTTGTTGGCCCTTTATTAAAGCATAGTTAGGAGCGATAACCGAATTGCGAAAAAGGCACTAAATGGGCACAGCTGCTAATCTGTAGATTTGTCTTGATTTGATATGTCTATTTACAGTTGTCATTTTTGTAGCTTTATCTCTTTGGCCAGGATTGACAATAAACGGCCGAATGGTAAGAGTATTGAGCTAATAAGAAGCTGTAGGCAGGAATAAATATATTTATTCACTTAATTGAATAATTTTGCCAGTTGGGTTATATTAAATGATATTTACTTGGCATTACAAATTTATATTTTGATATTCGATTTAATAATTGAACTTTAAACCCTTTTCAATACTATTAAAAGTCATACAAAAAATTGAAGAAATTGAAATTGGTCTTCAGTCTCATCTGACCGACCTTGTTCTTAACTTATCATTTCTCGCTAGGCAGTCAGAATTATTAATAGATTGCGTATAACTTCCACTCTTGATAAATTAAATGCTCATAATTTGGCATATTTTGATTGTATAAGTTTATAAGTTATTGACTCTCATAAATTAGTGGAAATTATTGTAAAGGCTTTTTAATGCTCAGTTTATAGCTTTATCAGTTTCAATTTACTTACAGCCGGTACAAGCGAGTACATATATATAAAGACATATGTATGTATTTATATATATAGATATTTGTAAGGTACAACAGCCGTCGTATCTTATCTTTTATCACTTGTCACTGATATACGACAAGTATACGCGGCGTTCTCGTTAAATGTATAGTTTTCATTTGAGCCCATTTAACGTGTGTTTCATTTCATATCATCATTTTTCGCTATATTATTTCGATCAGCTACTCAAACTTACCTCCTTCCGGCTCTGAGTCATCTATGAAGATCATTTTGCTCTGAGTGCGTCCCTTGACGCTGGGTTCACGTAGACGAGTGCCCGTTTTGACTGCTTTACTTTACACAAAACGTATTTAAGTATATATATAAATATAAATATAAATATATATAAATATATATATATAAGTTTCAGATCTTTTGGTTTGTACGCACTATTTTGTTATTTGCTGCTTTCTATCTATAATATCGAATACAAATTTCTTTTTTTAACACAAAACATTTTCTTTTTGCGTTGCGGCAAAACGAAATTATGAATATTTATTTGACTGTTGACTGAACTTCACTTCACTGCGTGATTTGATTTGATTTTGTATTTATTTTGTATGCTGCATGTTGCGCACTTAAAAAATGACACAAAGAATTATTATGTGGCGTTTCGAATTCTTTTATTTATAGGCTTGACTTTTTCTTTGGCTTATGAGCACGTTACGTATGTGTAATATTTGCAATGATTTCAATAGCTGGGTTAGGTTATTATAATTTTCTTGTTGCTGCTGCCTTTTGATTGCGTACTATTGTGTTATCGTCGTCGTCGTCATCGCGAGCGAGCGTTGTGCATCAAACTGTTTTTGGCCTGCGATACATTATTTGATTTGGGTGCCTCGCATTGCCAATATTTTCTTTTTTGCGTGTGTGTTTGTGTGTTGCCTTTGTTGCGAGCACTCTTTGCTGCCGCTGCTCAATTATAAATGTGTGTGTTTGCCTGATAGCAGGCAGCAGCACCAGGGGTGGTTGAAAGAAGCGGGGCCGGCACGACTTGTCGCCGATCGACTCGACTCGACTCTCAGCACTCGCTAGCTCGCTAGCTCGCTCGCGTTTTTATGCCTATCTATAAATAAAAAAAAGAAGATACAGATACAAATACACAACTAGCTCTAGCTGTATCTCTATTCTGTAGTCTTCTTCTGTATCTTTGCCTGTTTGGTTATAAAAATAAATTGCAAAGCGATTTGTATGTTGCCCGCTTTCTCTCTCTCTCTCTCGTTCTATTGGGAGTAGTCGCTCTCATCTTGGTCTCTGGCAATCGTTTAATACATTTTTGTTGTGTGATTTTCCTTCTTTATTTTTTTGGCAACATATTTGCCACCTACTTGTCGTATTCATATATATATATATATATACTATATGCATGTCTAAATATGTGTGCATGAATATGGCCTGGTTAGCATATAGCTTCCTATTGCCCTGCCTTTTCCACTGCTGTGTCTGGCGTCTTTTTATCTGCCACACACACACACATACACATACAGACACAATTTTCTGCATTTTTATTAGTGGCTTTTTTCTTTGCAACTTGTTGCCGCTGTCAGCTGCATTTTTACGTTGCGTTTGTGTCACGTTTTTTGTTGGCTAAGTGTTCTATCTGTTTATCTATCTTTTAGTTCTCGCTTATGTCATCATCATTGACCTTCATTGAGATTTGGCTTTTGATCGGGTAAAGCGTTAAGTTCTAGCTGTAAAGAACTGTTGAAATAATATTGATATAGCTATAGATTGTATACTTCTATTTTTATATACTGGTGAAATTACTAACAAGAAATTACTAAACACGTTAATTCAACTGATAACTAAATTTAGTTTGTGCTGTTCTCTGTTGACATTAAATGTGCTTCGACTGATATGAAATTTAGTTGCAGATAATACAATTTTATTCTATTTTAGATAGAATATTTTACATTTTGATTGTTAATCATTTATGAACGTAATTGGGCTAATTGAGGAAAGTGATTCAGAGCAAGCAGAAGATAAAACATTGTTAACTAATCTAAGTTCCCATTAAGAACAGTAAAACAATTAAACATTGTTTGCTGTGAAGATCTCATTAAAGCTTGCATAAAGCTTAATAAATACTGATTTGTTATATAGACTTTAAGGCTTAAGGCCATTTAGATCTTAGCTCAAGTGTGATTTTCAAATATTTGCCAACTCTTAGAGCCTGTGGGGGCACATGTTGAATATTTTAACTTTATCTCATTGTCGACATTATTAAATTACGCTTTTGCTAAATTTGGATAGGTTAACATCATGCCTGATAAGAGCCACACACACACACACAAACACACCTCCCAAAACAGTCAAAAAGCTGCTGCCTATCTTATCGAACGGAAGAATGCTTAATTGCCGGACAGCCGGCTATTAAAAATGCGTCATCCAAGGGGAAGAGTGAGAGCGAGAGAGCGAGAGAGGGTGAGAGCGATAGAGAAAGATAGATAACGAGGCGGAACAAGAGACTAACTGACTAACTTGGCTGACATTGTGCTTTGGTTGGGTTTTCCATCTTAAATTGCTTTAAAGCGTCTAACGTAAACAATAATACTACCAACTAAGTTGCCCAAGCAAAACACAGCTGTCGGCCGCACGAAGCCTTGGCCATAAAAAAATTACGTATACGCTATGTTTTTTGGCCTGCAGCCTGTGGACAGCTGCAACGCTCTGGCCAAAAGCAAATAAACAAAACGCTGTCTGAGCACTTGTGATGTGTACGTTGCCTAACGGGTTACATGGCTGTCGACAGGTCTCTATAGCCGGGTCCAGCAGCATGAGTGGGTGGCGGGTGGCGGGAGGGGGCTTTACTCTAAACCACGTTTTGATTTGCAAAGGTCTAGCAAATGCATTCGGCTTTGTTGCACTATAAAGTGACTTGGGGCTAAGGCAACGGTTTTAGTCCTCTGTTTTGACTGGCCGCCCGGCTAGCTTTGTTTTAAATAATGTAAATCCCTTAAATGCACTAAACGCAGCGGATGCTCTCTTTTCGCGTTTTTTTCTTCATTTTTTCTATTTTTCTTTTTTCCACTTTTCCACTTTGAAAATCGAAAATCGCGCACACGGCACGTTTTTGTTTTGCTATTTTTGTTGTCGCTTCCGCCGTTGCCCAAAAATGCATTCGAAAAAAGGAAACAAAACACAAAAACTTCTGTCTCTTATTTAGTGTGCACGAAATCATTTAGCAATCGGCTGCATTTTCATTTGTTTTTTAGCAATCTATTTTCTATTTCATTGTCTGATTTCTTATTTGTTTTTTTTTTTTGAGCTCACTTTTTGTTTAACGTTCATTTTGACATATCAGTATTGCACTATTTTGATACGATTGTTTGCCTCGTCGAATGCACAGATTTGTTGCACACCGCACGGCTGCTCGTTGCACATTCAACTGTTTCGACAAAAAGAATTTTTATGTAAAATTTCAATCAAGTTTTTCGGCTTGAAACATTTTCGGTCAGCCAACAACGCCTCGTGGCGCTATTTTCGTATTAGTTCGTGCACAATTTTCGAAACAATTTTCATGTGTGTTCGGCGTGAGTTTTTTTTTATTTGATGCCCCGTAGAATATATTTTAGGGAAGCTATTTCTTTACTCTACAATATCATATGCTTAATGCTATGTTTACTTTGCCTTTGACATATTTCAGAGTGCTTATTATGGCTTATAGGCATTCAGCTCATCTCTAAAACAATTTTAGTTTTGTGTTTAGTATCTTTTTGATATTTACAATCAGACTAAAATCACACATAGGGTATTATAAGCGTTGAGCATACCTTATTAATGAGTTGCTCACTTGTTTTGTAATGTGCCTGCTGCATTGCTGCTGGTTGTTGGCGCAACAAAAGCCAATGTGTGTTTTTACCTCGCTAAACTTCTTTGGAGCTAATTATAAACTGAATCTCTCGGCATTGCCTGCCACACAGCAATGGTCCATTAGCCCCAATTCTGCGTGGGTGTGGCCTTAGGAGCTGGGCGGCATTTGCTCTACGTGAGTTACAACAGGAATACAATAAATGTATTCGATTTTTCCGTTGCCTTGCAAACGGTTACAGGTTGTCGCCGAATATTTTATTTATTGAAATACCTACAAATCAGAAATAACAGTTTTCTTAAATGTTTTGAGTTTCTTCAATAAATATAAAAATTATGTATAGTTTTTTAACTAAAATGTTGATACTCAGCCTGCAAAATCGGTCCTGTGGCGCAATGGATAACGCGTCTGACTACGGATCAGAAGATTCCAGGTTCGACTCCTGGCAGGATCGTTGAATGAGCTTTTTTTGAGAAAGAGAAATAGCTACATTTTTTATGAGTTGTTTGCAAAATGATCTGTTTTATATTTATTTATATTAGAACTTGTTAAAGCTTTAGTTTTTAAGATCGTCAATAAAAATGAGAGATCAAAAAAGTTATTTTCGCCCAACGTGGGGCTCGAACCCACGACCCTGAGATTAAGAGTCTCATGCTCTACCGACTGAGCTAGCCGGGCATGTTGATAGGCCTGTGCGAATATCTTAAAACATAATATAATTAATTAAAATATTTATAAATATCAAATACTTCGGCAAAAACCTTGCAGTTGAATTCGTATTAGTTTAAATTCTTATTTATTGATTGCCATTATGTTGATTTAGTTAGTCTTTGCATCTCTAGCTATACCTTCTTAACGCACGAGGCGACCTTGCGCTAAACTACACACATTACGCACACACTAAACATATACACACACACACACACAGCCATAGACAACACATGCCGTGCACAGTTGATAAATTTTACTCTTTCGTTAGCCGCATAGCGTCTTCTAACTTGGCCATCTATTCCCAAGTCGTTTTTCTGTACGCTTTTCATCTCAGCGTGCGATTTTTTCTTTTGCCTTTGAGTTGTTTTAGCCGCAATTATTTTTTCTGGGTCATAAATGGGAAATATGCAAAGCATGTAGACAAATGGCAAAATAAATTATTTAATTTCCACACAAGCATATTTCGCTTAAATTCTTATGCTATATGGATGGAAAAACATTTCACTCGCTCGCTTTTCATTCTAAGGTCGTCGACGAGTCGTTGACTGCAGCTGCGGTCGATTCTCCATATTGTTGTTGTTGTTGTTCCTCTTTTTCTTGTAGATGGCGCCGCATTTTACGACACATTACGCACATAAGTAGCTATATATTTATATATGTATATAGATATATAAATATCTATATATATATCTAGATATATATGTTTAGATGTGGCTGCTGCTGCTTGCTTTATTATTAAAATTAGTGGCATTTGGCCTTTTGCAGCGCGTTGACAGCCAGAAATCAATGTTAACGTGGCTCGAAGCGCTACAAATTTATGAGCCTTGTGGACCTTGTCGCTTGAACTTGTGTCAAAGTGGCACAATGACAAAGATACGCAATCATCACAGCAGGCAGCAAAAATGCATCACATCACATGTGACTCAGTGAGCAACTATTTCAGCTGCTACAAATACCCTGTAGCAAAGACGAGGGTAGTGGGTATATGATTGAGTATGCTTACTAACATAGTTAAGATAGTTGCAAAATTCTTCGTGTTGTTTGTGTGCCACAAAGGAAGTTCTGTCATAGTCAAGAAAGTGACGAGAATACTTTGTATCAACTATAACCTGTAGCATAGTTGAGTGGCAAATCTGTGGATATAAATGTAGTTATGAATCTTTATTTATGCATATTCTGTATATGTGTTTTGGGCCTATGTGTGATGAACATCTTAGTATCCATCATGCCCCAAGACATTTTGTTGCCTCAATATAATTGTTGATGTTGCTGCCGCTGCTTTTGTTGTTGCTGCTTTTGTTGTTGCAGTTGTTAATGTAATGGGATGTGGTTGTTGTTTATGTGGCCTACTTCCGGCGACTGTTGTTTACGTCTAATTGGCTGCCCACGTAAACAAATGGTCAGCTGAGTATTTATAGGTGCTCGAGTTGGATATTGAATTGGATCCGATTTTTGTGGCTACGTCAAACAGCTAAAGAATTTCGCTTGATTTGCGCTTGCATATAAATAAATTTAATTGACATTTTTGTCAGGCAGCTGAGCGCTCGTTTATCAAATAACAAGCAACATTTATATTTTATACAAAATGCAAATTATTTGCCAGGTGGTGTTCTATATTCTATATAACTGAACCCGAATAACTTTTGCGGTGTGCCGCAAAAACAATTTAATTTGATTGCCTTTTAAATTCTTTGAGCATTTTCCGGCTAAGCTCCACCTACTCGATACACCCAGTGTCTCAGTCCGCCAGTCCTGCCTCTAATCCTTTTTCCCCAAAGTTTCGTGTCTTGGCACGTATTTGCGAACCACGCCCTCGCCGATACCTTAGCACAGCCCCTGCTGTTGCTGTCATGAATTGCAGGAAATTTATTTTACCTCAAGGACTGTGGATATTTTGTTGCGTGGCCAACACGGATTTGTGCCGAGCAAGCAAAACAAGTTTTTGTTTGTTTATTTCGATTAAACTTAAAGTCAAGCAGACAATTCATTCATTGATAAATCTCCGCATTCCTTCGCTTAATGGAAAGGTCACGCCAATGGATTGGATTGTGCTATGCCAGCGCACAAAAGCGAACAAAATAAATATTTATGAATTGCGCACATGCCAACGCAAATGGCCAGTTCAACTTGATGACGTTACCTTATTTCACACCCACACCCAAGAGAGGGTGTGAAAAATCGAGAGAGAGACAGAGAGAGATAGAGAGAGCGTAGCCGGCAAATAAATTAAACAGATGCGCTCAAAAGTATGCAATGCCAAATTGTGCAGCAAGAAGAAAACAATCAAAATTGGTTTGCCAGCTGGAAATTGAAATTTCCTTTGCAAATGCACTTGCAGCATATAATGTTAAATATTTGAAAGTAACTGGAGCTGCCACTTTATCGATTGAATTCAATATCGAAGCTGATTTTCAAGATTTTTGTTATAGCCAGTTATTAGTTCTGGTACCATCACAGCATAACCGATAACACATTAAATAGTTAGTTATTAATTATATTTTCTTTCCTTTAAGTAATCAGCAAGGTCTTTAAACTATCTCTACAGTTTAATTGGTATACATTTAAATATAACATGGTTCGAGTAATACTGCATATAATCCCATTTAAGCCAGCTGCAAGCTTGAAGTAGAAAGCTGTATTATGTTGACGCTCATAAATTTATGAAAAGGATTTTATGGTAGCATATTTTTGACTAGATTATCACGACACCTTTTGTGAAAAGTGCAGCGACTCCGTGGCACCTTTGCATCGCGGTAAATCAATGTACATAATTATGAACGTGCTGTGGCAAAAATAATGCAGCACAAGACAAAAGAGAAGATGCAATTTATGGCAAATGCAACGCAGCAGCCATAAATTGAAAGCCAGCACAAACAAAAGACGGAGTCAGAGTTTGCCTCAAAAATCTCATCAAAAACTTCAACAAAAAAACCGAAACAAAAATATTGAATGCAATTTTATTTACCACACATGCAGCACAGCTGCAACCGCAAAATGCTTGCTTTTTATCTGTGGAGGCAGCTGTTTTTTCTACATAGAAATTTATCATATTGTGTGCTTGTAACTATGCTATTTAGTTGCTGTTTGCATATAAGTGCGAAAGAGAGAGAGAGAGAGAGAGAGAGAGAGAGAGATAGGGACCTGCTTATAAGTTGGCAGTCTTATTTTTCTTCTTCTGGTTGTACTTTGTTCAAAACTGAGCTATTGCTCCTGTTGCTGCTCCTGTTGCATGCTACTGGCTGTTGTCAATTCATTGCCCGCTGAAATTCGCAGTGTGTGAAAAAGAAACACATACCAACACGCCCACACATGCACACACACACACACTTGCGGCAGTCATGGTTGCCACAAGCCAGCTGCCACCTGTGCTACAGCCAACTGTTTGCGCGTGTGTGCGTTTAAATGAGTTTACGTGCTCTCAGCCATGCCTATCTGTTTGTTTGTGTATGTGTGTGTGTGTGTGTGTGTGTGCGTTGCTATGTGGCTTCAGCAGAACCCGTTGCCAGCTCCTCTGCTATTTGTTTGTTTGCTTGGCTTTAGCTCTAAAGCAGCAACATCAGCAGTAGCAAGGGCTTCTTGGCTCAATTGTTGTCGGTTGTCTGGTTGGTTGCTTCTGCTGCTTGCCTCTGCTGCTTGCCTCTGCTGCTTGCTACTTGCTGCTTGCTGCTTGCTTTGTTGCTACTTGTATTCTCTTCAAAATCCAGTTTAAGATTTTTGATTTAATTTTGTTTGCCTGCCGGTTTCCTGATGCACGAATCATGCGCTTTACATTTGCTTTCGGCATTTTGGGCATCTTCAGGTTTGGGTTTGGCCCAAAACGTATTTATGTCAGGCAGTCAAAAGGCTGCCTTTGGGCCACACACAATTATTGATCAACTGGTAAATATGAAATGCTAATTTAAGTTTGCTTGGAACAATCTCTCAAATACCTTCACGTATGTATCTTTGCATATGTGTGTGTTATTGTTGTTTGTTGTCTCTTGTGGGTGTCAAAGCTAGTTTAACTGATTTGACATTGTTGTGTGCATTCCTGTGCATTACAGAAATAAGCTTGGAAAGTTTTCACTTTATTTTCTGAAAGAAAAAGGATATGTTTTTATTATCTAAGACTTTAACATATCATCTGTTTATTTATCTTATTTATTTATATGTTTGTAGAGTTGAGTTGCACTTAAAGTTCTCTTTTGATTTGGCTGACATATATCAGTTGGAAGTCTATTAAATGTACTTGGAAATCAAAAATAAGGTTTAATTATTAAAGTCAGCTTTTATAGTCAGCTCATATATAATATTTCAATGATTTACTGCTGGACGTTTATTAGACACACTCAACCAAATGATATTTAAGTAGTCGTTGGCAACAGCCACAATACAAAAATGAAATCACAGCAAAATTAGTTGTAATTGAATTGTTGCCTACTTTGCATGCGTTTTCCTACTAATCGCCTTAAAGCGACAAAAGGCAACAAAAGCAACCAACAAGGCCCTAACTTGTTGATTAGAGTCTTGATCCCAGACATATGACGGACGCGACAGGTGATCTAAAGCAATAACGACAAGAACAAGAGTGTCTCGGGTTCAAGTACATGGACTAGTCGAAGGCGTTTCTAATGTATCGTATCGGGATTGGTATTGGTATTCAAACTACATGAAAACGAAAACAAATATTTGACGTTTTAGTCTAATTAAATTAGCCACAACGCCCGATCTGGCCCCCTGGGAAATGGTATAAATTTCTGTACGGCAGCCAAAGCCAGAGTCGCAACCGCAAAACGCTGGCCACATAAAATTCGCGGACCTCACATTGTGTCAAAGTGCGCAGAACGGAACGCCACGATGTTTTTTGTTTGTGCTGCTGAAAGAAAAAAATATTAACAAATAAAATAAGGACAGTCCATATATGTATATAAATTGTATAAAAAATAGTTGCGGCTGAACCGTATGCAATACAAAAGTTAAACCACAATATTTTTTAGTAGCTCTCTAAGCCACATGAAATTTCTGCGACCATTGTGCGGCAAAGCTGAACAATTGCACACGTTTCTGTGCGCCAGAATGCAAGAAGTAAGTGGCTTAAGTGTTCCACCGGCCAAGTGAATTATGTTACCAGCAAGCCCGGCACAGAAAGATAGAGAGAGAGAGAGAGAAAGAGAGAGAGAGAGCAGTAAATAGAGCGAAAGAGAGCGAAAGAGTTGCTTTAACAAAGCAGCTGCCGGTCATTGTGCTTAAGCATTGCATGCACGTGTATTGAGAGTGTCTGTGTTTGTGTGTGTGTGTGTGTGTGATTTTGAGTGTGTGTGTGTGTACGTGTGTGTGTTAGCAATACCTGCTGCAATTCTGTTGCATACTATTTGAATTGACTGCTAACCAAACCTGCGACGTGAGCAAAAGAGTGTCAAACTTGCAGACTATATAAAACTTCAAGCATTAAGATGAAAATGTTTCTGAATCAGGTATAAAATAACACAAAAGGTTTCTATTGTAAATTTCTAGAATTTCCCTAATGTATAAAGTTTAAAGTTTGACTCCCCTATAGATCCAAAATAACTTTGTAGTTATATGCTATATACTCTGACTATAATATTGTCTAGAATCCATGTCCATTACTTATACAATAGCTTTAGAATACAGTTTTAAAATTTTATTGTCTTGTTTTTTTATATAAAAACGTGCTTCAAGTTAAACTTAATTAGATTTTGATTCATTTTTAAATAGATGAAAATATATTATAGATTATATTATATATATATATATATATATTTTAGTTGAAGAAATTTCCCCAACAATCATGACTTACATTTCAGAAGTCGATGGGATTAACGCTGTCTGAAATTCAATAATCCAAGTAGTAAACACTAATTGCTTAACTAGCTTAACTTGATTGCAATAAATTGCAATAAATTCGAATTCCCAAATGTCAAAGTCAGCCTTTAAGCGCATATATATAACATAAATATATATCAACTTATATCAGCTGGCCTTGCAGATAAAACCAAATTTATGTTGTCAGTTTTATGTGTTGCCTTCCCAGGAAAACGGAAGAATAATAAAAAAAGCGTATATATATATGTATAGGAGGATATGTTAAATGACAAATGTGCGAGTCACACTTATAATTCTATTAACTTAATTAAACAATGCAGTTGCTGGCTTTTGTCTGGCTACTCACAATGCTTCCCGCAAACACACACACACACACATTCATATATAACCGCTGCGGACATCAACGGATGCGCCACTTTTTACGAGCCACACATTAAAAAAAAACACACACACATTTTTTATGGGAATGGAAACCGTTTGAAATGCAGACGCGCAAAGTCAGATTTAAATTAACTTCCGAAAGAAATTCACACAAATATTTAAGCAACGATTGGTCAAAAATTGCAAAAATCAACATGACATTTTCATGATTGAGATTTATTTTCTTATTTATTTTTGTAAATAGTCCCGGCAAGAGTGTCAGTTAGTTGATCTGCCCGAAATCGAATGGAGTGCTTAAAGTGTGATATAAAATTGTGAATGTTTATTGAGTTATTTGTGAAATAAAACAGTTGGTTGCCCACACGACCCATGTAAACAAAAGGGCAATTCATTAATTTTGGCACATAAACAATTGCACAAATAACAGCTGAACGATGAAGAAAAAACGCAACAAGGCAATTGAAAATGGGAAAAACGTATATGCAATTGAAAGGAAAATGCAAATTGATAGAAATACATTTTTGTGTGCGGTTTTGAAAATACATTTTTAGTTGTGATCTGATGTGCAAATGTTCAAGTAAAAATCAAAAACATAATATGCAAATATTGTAAATGCGAATTAAAAATATATAAATACAGCAAAATCTAAATATATATAAATATTCTGCCACTTAATACTCAGGTTAATTTCTCAATTCAAGCAGAATGTTAAAAATATGTTTCGAAGCTCAACAATAATTGAGCCGTCGAAATGTGCTGTGAATAAAATAAAAATTAAATAACTAAAAAAAACGCTAAAATGTCTGTCTAAAAAAAAGACATTTCACAGCTTAAATAGCTGAAAATTAAATGCATAAAATGCATATGGCAGTTAAAAATAAAGAGCTTACCCGATGAGCTGTGGTAAAAAGCGAATGAAATAAAAATAAATTGAAATTATAAACAGCTTAGGGGACATGCTTCAACAGATGCTGACCAAAAACCATAAAAACCAAGACAAAAACCAACTGCAAACACACACACCACATACACACACACCACACACACACACACGCATATATCTAGAAACAACAGTGATCAAAAAAGGCTAGAATAACTTCACTTGAAAGTTGCATTCACAGGAGCTTAGTGTTTTGTGAGTTTTTGGGTTTGGCTTTTTGTTGTGTGTGTGTGTGTGTGTATGTCTTCCAATCTCTGTGTGTGTGTGTGTGTTTTTAGCTTAAGCCCACACGTTGACAAGCAGCTGAAAAAAGAAGTTGCAATAAATGAACTGCAGTGTTAAGCGAGCTTTAGAAACTTTTACCAACAACACGAGACACAAATAAATTACACGACACTTTTTGTTAAGTGAATTACACATAATACACCCAGACACACACCCCGACACACACCCCGATACACACACACACACCCCGTACACACTAATAAACATGGGTCGCAAGAAGAAGCAACCAATGGGCGTAAGTATTAAATGGCTGTTGATAAACTACTGTGTATCTTAAAGATACAAGATACACGCTACACCTAACAAGTAGCTGCCAGCTCGTTTTCGCACCGATTTGCAGGTTACGCATACGCCGTATTAGCCACTATTTTGGGATTTCTCTTGCTGTTGTGGCTGATGCTGGCACTTAGCTTAAACGCTCCAAAAGGCACACATTTCATTTCCATGCCATTTAAGTGGCACAGATAAAGCAGCCAACCAACCATTTCAACACTTTGCACTTAATTTCCCTATATGTTTATGTTTATTTTCTTCTTGTCCTCGCTGCTATTTTCTGAGTAAGCTTTTTTTTTGGCATTTTTATTTTTATTTTTTATTTATTTACACCTACGCGTATTTTTACATACTGACACCGTTCTGTTTTGGTCCTTTTTTTAGTTGCCGCCGGGTGGCTTGAATGCCTCTGGTGGTGGCGCCCCTAAAACTGTGGGCGGCTGTTGTGTGCCGCTGGGATTACCGCAACCTTTGCTGCTCGAGGAGAAGAAATTCCTGCTCGCCGTCGAGCGAGGCGATATACCAAATGTGCGCAGGTGAGTGCCATCCAAGTGACGTGTTTTTCCCCCGTTTTCGTTCATTTTGCTTCTTTTTTGAACTCGAATATCATATTTGTGGCTATATTTTGGATACTCTTACAGAGGCAACTGTAATTTTATCATGATGACTTCATAGGGTATTTAAACTTCGACGTGCTGAAGATGGCAGTTTGTTTTTTTGGTGAGTGGTGCGTCAAGGGACACGCAGGTGTCGATGGGCTGTATCCGTTTCCGTATTCGTATTCCCCCAAGGACGATATGTGTAGAGCTCTCTACAGGAAACGCAAAATCCTATCAACACAACTCCGGTTTCTGGAGTGTGTGTGTGTGTGCTTTTGGGTGGTTTCAATTATTTGCATAGCTGCCTGTTTGTTTGCCTTGGGGAATCATCTTATGTGCCACTTAATAAGCAATATGCGGGCTTGAGTACCGTTTGCCACTTCAATGCCACTCACAAGCGCATTTTAATAAATTTACAATTAATTTTCGCTCTGTTTATTGGCACAAACTTTTAAATAAATTTCTGAGAATGTAGAAAATTAAAGTAAATTGAATGTAAGCATGGAATAAGGTAATTTCATATCTACTGGATTAAATGAAATTATTTATTCAAAATAAGAAATATTGAGAAAGTGTACTTTGCTTAAAGTAACTTTAAGTAATAGTGTCAGATTCTTTAGATGTCATGTCAAGTTCAATAAAATTCCAAATGCATAATTCAAATTCATTTCTCAGAAATCACCGTCAAGAAAAAAAACAAGAATTTGGTTGGCATGAATAACCATTTATGAACAATCTTTAATTGTTTTGAATATGTTTTACAATAATCGCAGATTGGTTCCTATTTGCCGCTAATCTGGTATTTGTAAAACAGTGCGAATGTAAAAAGTATAAAAACAATAAATAAACATTGTGCAGTGTAACTTTGTTGACAATTATCAATTGTTCTCCGCCTGAAATATTACAATTAGCTTGTAATGATAGATCCGCTCTTCTGAATACATTTGCTTGCCATACTCTGATGTTAAATCGTGTGAAAGTGTAAAAAGTGTGAGCAAAAGTAAGTAGGGGGTAACAAACTCTTAACTCGGTGTAGAGTGTAGACGTTGTTGCTGCTTTTCTGGTTACTTGGTTGATTGGTTGCTTCGTTGCTTGGTTTCTTCGTTATTTGTGTGCTTCTCTGTATTTTGCTGTTGCTTCTGCGTATTTTGCTGTTGCTTCTTATATTGATTGGTTTGGTTTCTGACTGCTGCTTTTGCTGTTGCTTTTGCTGTTGCTGTTGCGTTTGCTCTTGCTCGTTCCTGTTTAGCGTTTAAAGTTAATAAAACGATAGGGATTGTAGCTCTTCATTTCGTCGAGTGTGTAACGATAATGTGGCGATGGTGGATCCTCCTCGGAGCCAATGGACTCACCCTCCTCATCTCCATCCTCCTCGCGCTGCACGCGTATCCCTTTTAGCTGGCAGGCATAGCGATAGAGCTCCTCCTCGCGATCCTTAAAGAACTGCCAGGAGATGCGACTTATGCCCGGCATTGGATTCGGCTCGTGTCCATCGATATTTGAGGTCGATGTTAGCCAATCGACGCCACCCAGTTTACCAGTTTGTGTTTCTAATCAATTAATGAATTAAGATATATACCCTTTGTTTACTTTTCCGACAGTTTGGAAACGGGGTAGGCCTGGGGCCACACAACACACACAACTCACCCTTATTCTTTTGTGCCATTTTGATGACCATGCCCTGACCTGAAGCAGCGTCCATATTTTAGTTTGTTTTGAATTTGTTTTACAAATAATTTAATAGCCAAATGGTTTTATATTCGGCGTTTTATTTAATATGCATATATGTCGGGGTTTTTTTTTGTCTTTGAATTTTGTACAACAATTTTTGTTGACGAACGATTGTGAAATGAATTTTGTTGAGATTTCTGCAGCTCAGCAAAAATGTTTTGGATATTTTGACAAGCAGCAAATCACAGGCGACTACGTTGCCTGACCAATTATTCGAACAGTGTTGCAAAACGCATCACGAAATACTTACTTACTTAACCAGTGCCTGAAAACTTGCCACACTTTTAAATATTAAATTCGTTGAGTTTTGTACCTTAACTAGTTGCCACTTTTAAAGACAAATACTGTTGAAATTTCTAAAATTTCCTTCAATGCCATTCGATTGATTGGCAAACTTTTGTCTGTGGAGGACGCACATAATTAAAAAGTTTTACAAGAAAAGTAAAAGTTATTTTCGACAATTTTCAAAACATTTTCTGTACTTTTTTTTTTTGCTGTTGCTGTTTTAATTACTTCAGAATACTGCAGAAGGCACTGCGACAGCAGCATATCAATATCAATTGCATGGATCCATTGGGCAGGCGAGCCCTAACGGTGGCCATTGATAACGAGAACCTGGAGATGGTCGAGCTGCTGGTTATCATGGGCGTGGAGACAAAAGATGCCCTGCTGCATGCCATCAATGCGGAGTTCGTTGAGGCCGTTGAGCTGCTGCTCGAGCACGAGGAGCTCATATTCAAGGAGGGCGAGCTCTACGTAAGTAATATCTACCACACCTCATCTGACTTCGACCCGACTCTGGCCTCCTTCACCTCTATTATAGTATGCTGCACTCAGCTAATTTGTGGCACACATCGAGTGGCCCGGCTTTCGGCTGCTGTCTCAAAAACCGAAGCTAATACGATTTTAATCAGTTTTGCGTGGCCTCGTTAGGCACGTACATGACAGACGCTGAAGTGATTGGGTTTGGGATTGGGATTGGGTTGGTGCTTGGCTGTGGGATTGGAATTGGAATTGGGAGTGTGCGATAAGCGGACAACGCTTCCGTTTACCAACGCTTCCTTCTGTCATACTCACTCCTCATCCTCCTCCTCCTCCTCCCACTAGTGTTATACATGTCTGTGTCACTTTTGCTTGGGGTATTATGCATTTTTTATGGAATATGTTAAGCCCATAAGGGAAATCTTTTTTTTTATTTTCTCAATTATTTGTCAGTTTTAGCTAGAAACTAGAAACTTTGTTTGTAAATAATGAATTCTATGAATTATTTATGAATTCGGAATTGGTCGAAGTCAATTTAAATATCTGATTATATTACAGCTAACACTGTTCAAGTTCTGATCAAGTTATTACGTATATAACAAATGATATATATACCATATGTATGTATAAGCATTCGCAGAACAAAGGCCTTGCATTAGATTGCGATATTATTCATGAGTACAAATTTCTCTGTACCCAAGGATATACAAACTTCGACCAAGTTATTTCTGTTAAACTTGTCTTTTTTTTTTTTTTTTTTGCAAATAAAGTTGTACGAGATAAGGGGGGAGAGAGTGAGGCAGAGTTCGGTGGCGCCACAGACATATTTATGCACACGAGAATACGCTTCATTAAGCAGCCATTGGACGCAATTGAAGTGTGAAAATTACAATTGTAAGGCATATGCAATAAAAACGTTTAACGAGCAGGAATACAACACACACACACACACACACACGCACACACATGTTGAAAGATGGAGGAGAGTCACTTGAGCAGCACCTTAACCTTCTTAAGCATCTTAACTGGGCTAATATCGTTTTTGCAGAGCTGGCAGAAGGTGGACATAAATGCGGCAATGTTCGCACCGGACATAACTCCACTGATGCTGGCCGCGCACAAGAATAACTTTGAGATATTGCGCATACTTTTGGATCGGGGTGCGGCGGTGCCAGTGCCACATGATATACGGTAAGTGGTTGCCTCATCTCTTATTTCTCCTTTTATTATTGTTATCATTACTTTTACAGTTGCGGCTGTGAGGAGTGCGTGCGTCTTATTAACGAAGATTCGCTGCGGCACTCGCTCTCACGCGTGAATATCTATCGTGCCCTATGCAGTCCCTCGCTCATCTGTCTCACCTCCAACGATCCCATACTGACCGCCTTTCAGCTGTCCTGGGAACTGCGCAATCTCGCGCTCACCGAGCAGGAGTGCACGGCGGAGTATATGGAACTGCGTAGGCAGTGCCAGCAATTCGCCTGCTCTCTACTGGATCAAACGCGCTCCTCCAATGAGCTGGCTATAATATTGAACTATGATCCGAACACATCTTCCTATGAGCCCGGTGATCGCATGAGTCTTACGCGACTCGTGCAGGCAATTTCCTATAAGCAGAAGACGGTAAGCATGAACAAAATGAAAGTAAAATCAAATATTTCCATAGTCATATATATAAATCTTCCAAACAATTAATAAAATTTAAGTTTTGTTATAGATGGTTTAGCTCTCAGAATTCTCTGTCTTAAATATCTCTATTTATCAGTCTATCAATCGAGGTATTGAATTTATGTCAAAGCTAACATCAGACAAATCCACTGAAATGTGTGCTGATAAAAAAGATGTGCAAACAGTAAACATTTCTGACATATTTTCCAAAAACCCCCCCAAAAAAAAGTGAAATTTCTGTTTTTTTTATTTGGTATGATTTTTCGTTGCAGTTTGTGGCCCATTCGAATATACAGCAATTGCTGTCGTCAATTTGGTATGAGGGACTGCCCGGATTCAGGCGCAAGTGCTTCGTGGACAAATTCATTTGCATTGCCCAGGTGGCGATGCTGTTTCCAATCTACTGTTTCATCTATATGTGTGCGCCCAACTGTCGAACGGGTCAATTGATGCGAAAGCCGTTTATGAAGTTCCTCATCCATGCCTCATCCTATGTGTTCTTCCTGAGTGAGTACAATTTGAAAGGCATACACAGTTGGTTGTCACTGAGAAAAAAGGTTATCAAAAGGTAACAAACTTAGACCTCAATGTTGTGAGTGCATAATAGCTTAAGAGCTCAAATGACTGTTTGGCCAAGCAAACAGTTTATGTTAAAAATATCAAGACAAAATGCAAGATGTCTTTTCAACCGTATTCTATTTATAGTCCTGTTTACATTGCAGTTATCCTCATATTGGTCTCGCAGCGTGCGGACGATGAGCTTGTCCGTTTCCTTGGCACGGCCCGAATGAAGGCCGAGCTTGAAGAGCAGGAGCGACGACAACGGGGCCAGGCGCCCAGCCGGTTGGAGATAGTCGTTGTGCTCTACGTGATTGGTTTCATATGGGAGGAGGTGCAGGAGATATTTGCCGTCGGCATGCGGAGGTATTTGCGTAACATGTGGAACTTTATCGATTTTCTGCGCAACAGCCTCTACGTGTGCGTCATGTGTCTGCGGTAAGAAAAAGCCATACAAAAAAAAAACACACTCACAAGAAGTACGTTGTAAGTTGAAAGCACTGTTCTGACGACGTCTCCCATTTTGCAGTGCCTTTGCCTATATCCAGCAGGCAACGGAAATAGCGACAGATCCACAGATGGCCTATATACCGCGCGAAAAGTGGCACGACTTTGACCCACATCTAATTGCCGAGGGCCTGTTTGCGGCGGCTAACATTTTTTCTGCCTTGAAGCTGGTGCATTTGTTCAACATTAATCCACACTTGGGTCCGCTGCAAATATCGCTGGGTCGAATGGTCATTGATATTGTCAAGTTCTTCTTCATCTACACCCTCGTTCTGTTCGCCTTTGCCTGTGGCCTCAATCAGTTGCTCTGGTATTTCTCGGCACTGGAGAAGAGTAAATGCTATGTCCTGCCAGATGGGAAGGCGGATTGGGCTTCGCACGGCGACTCCTGCATGAAATGGCGACGCTTTGGCAAGTCAGTCCAGTCATTTAGCTAATTATCAGTGAGCGCGTGTGTAATCCTAACTAAATGCTTTCACCTTTGGCAGTCTGTTTGAGACATCGCAATCGCTGTTCTGGGCCAGCTTTGGCATGGTTGACCTCGATGACTTTGAGCTGACGGGCATCAAGTCATACACCCGATTTTGGGGCCTGCTTATGTTTGGCTCGTACAGCGTCATCAATGTGATTGTTTTGATGAATCTACTCATTGCCATGATGTCCAATTCCTATGCCATGATTGATGTAAGTGTAGCCCTAATGACATAAAACTGCTACTTAATAACGTTTAATGTTTCTTATTGCCTTGCAGGAGCATTCGGACACCGAGTGGAAATTTGCTCGAACCAAACTCTGGATGAGCTACTTTGAGGACAGTGCCACATTGCCACCGCCGTTTAATGTGCTGCCCTCAGTTAAATGGGTTATTAGAATGTTTCGAAAGTCCAGCAAGGCCATTGATCGACAGCGCTCTAAGGTGAGTTGTTTCAACGTAAGAATTTAAGTTAGCTTTTAGAACAAATATAAGTTCATTCCAAAGCTGCAGATTATTGCAACTGAATTTATGCAATTATTTTTTCAATTTTTGTACAAAAATAGGCAGTATATTTTATTGTTTCCCAAATTTCTGCCAGAATAAAAACTCGCAATGCAAATTTAAATAGCATAGTGGCTGCTTCTGTTAACCAGAAATCTGCTTATTTTAACTTTTGCTGAAAACGTAAATAAAAATACTGCTGGATGAGTTTTTATAAAAATATTGTATTGCTGGAATATGTAAATAAATAAATAAAAACGGAGGAAGTCAGCGCGGAAAAGCGAAATTTAAAATATTCAATTCTCGGCCGCAAAATATTCGATTTTAGAGTGCTGCAGCTTTATTTACACATTTGAATGAAAACATTCGATTGCCATCAATTTAAAATTTATGGAAAACTAAAAGTGATATTTTAAAGTAACTGGACTAGTTAAAGATTAAGGTACTTCCATTTTTTTTCCATCTACAGAAACGCCAGGAGCAGGAGAAGTATAATAAATATGATAATATTATGCATTCCCTGATCTGGCGGTATATTTCTGCAATGCATCGCAAGTTTGAGGACAATCCGGTCACCGAGGATGATATCAATGAGCTCAAGAGCGAGATTAGCACAATGCGCTACGAAATGTTGGAGATATTCGAGAATAGCGGACTGGATGTGTCATCAGCGAATAAGAAAGAGAAGCGTAAGTTGAAACTCACCTGAGCACATATATATATATATAAATATACTTATCTATGTCCTTGACAGAAACGAAACCGCGTCGCACGAAAGTCTGGGAGCGTCGTCTGATGAAGGGCTTCCAGGTGGCGCCAGTGCACACGAGCAGCGAACAGGACCTGCTCAGCAATGTGAATGGCGAGGGTGAAATGCATGAGGTCAAAGTGGAGAAGGTGCCCTCGAAGCCAGCCAAGGAGACGGCCAGGGAGCGTTTCCAGCGTGTGGCTCGCACAGTGCTCCTCCAGTCGAGCACACACAAGTGGAATGTGGTGCTTCATGGCACGCTGCAGCACTCACAGATTGGACGCAGCACCAAATACCAGCGCAAGAGCCTTCAAAATTTGGGCAAGGCCATCGAGGAGGCCAAAAAGTACGTAGACCAAGCACAGACTCTGTTATCCATAGATTAGATTGGCATGCACAATATCCACATCGACAGCATTTAACAATTTAAATCTCTAATTGAATTCGCAACAGGCTCATTCTGCTCAATCCGGGCAGCTCGTCGGGCCGCGAGTCGCCCATACGCATAGAGTTTGTGGACGAGAAATCCAGCACTTTACTGGAGCTGCTCAATCAGATCAGCGATGAGATCAGCAGCTGTGAGCGACCACGAGTGAAGCCACCCTGCTGGCGACCACCTACAAAATCTGTTGCTGGACGCGCCATGGCTGCCAATAATGAGTGGTCCAGATCGAATACGGCACCGGAACTGCAACTCAACCGGAAATCCAAGCCGGCGCCACAGTCCACTAAGAGTCGCAGCAGCAATCGGACACGTGAGTTGCCTCTCTGCCCCAGCAAATTGGCCACAATAGCTGCAACGGCGCCGGTTGCCCCAACAACAGTTAACAACAACCGGGCCAAGACGACGACCACAATGCCTTTTTCTGTGGAATTTAAACTAGCTGAGCGAATGAGGAGCAGGGGCAACTTCCCCTCATCCTCGTCCATTGGCGTGCCGTCGAGTAATTCAACTGCCATCGACTTACATGTTGTCGATTTAGATGAGCGCTCTTCAAGTGGCGCTGCATTCGATAAGGATAGCATATCCGATGTTAGCTCTGTTCTAAGCATGAGTCCCAAGCGGCCAAATCATTAAATGTCCCGCTCGCGTGACCTCTTGTGATAAAGCTTATACAAAACATATATAAATATATATGTAATAAAACTTATTTATTTTATTTATTTATAACCTAAATTTATGTAAAATGTTTCTCTTTACAAGCTTAAGTTTATTACTCACAAATATTTCTCAAGCGCATCGCAAATTGAATTGATATTTTGTTTTTCTTGCTATTGCAGAAGAGGAAATGTCCTGAAACAAGTAAAACGTAAATAAATAAAATAAATCACTCAATAAAATAATCATTAAATGAAAAACTGCAGGTCAAACACCATTTTTCGTGCAAAGTCATCCGGCCGTAGTTTATTTTACACATCGAGGAACATCGAACATGTTGTTTTCTGACACCAAGTTTCAGATTTTATCTCAATGTAAAATATAAAAATAATTTCATAATTCCAACAAATATTTTGTAGATTGGCTGTATGCAGAAATAAGGCCGAAAATGAAACCCAATAAAAAGCTTATCTCGATTAATTCTCTATTTTCATTTATTAAAATATGTTTCTCCATCTATTATACATATATTTTTCCGCATCCTTGGGCCAATTCTTATTTCTGTAAAGAATAAATCTTAAAGAGTCGTTATAATAAGGTGATCATGTTTCAACATCTTAAGAACCTTTTTCGTTTTATTGAAATACTTACTAAGTACACAATAAGTCAATGTAGAAATAAGTGTTTAAGGTAGTTGATTTGAAAAGTATACAAAAAAAGGAGTCTTAGGTTCGCCGCAGGATATCTACCCTTGCAGATCGAAATCGCTTGTTATTTAAAAATAAAGAGTTTAAGCAGAGCTATACTCTCTTCAAGACTGCCCAAAAAAATATAATTTAATATAAGGAATACTTAAATAGTTTACTAAAAGAAGAGTCAAGTCTTTAGGCAATTGCAAACTACAGCAGTAAATTAAGATGCCTCGCTAACGAGTACTTCTAGACGAGGCTAATAGGCCCGGCAATATAGCCATTTACATATAATCGTCAAGCATGGGCGATGGCAACAGACACGCAAGGAACAAGGACCCTTCCGGCTGGTTGGGTTTTATGCTCGTCTGCCCGGCTGGCTGGGCTAAACTGGGCTGGCAAGGCAAAACGTGCGGAAATTCGTAAGCTGGCAGCATTAAAAGCAATAAAGACACAAAACATAAACAAGTCGCCATTGACGTTTGCCACGCAGCTTAACGCAGACTCTTAGCCGCAGGCTATTCGAAAAAGCAACAGAAACAAGAAGAATTCGTTGCGGAGGCAGGGGTTTGAAAATTACAAATTCAATTTGATGTCATATCAATTGATTTTGCGATACATCTTGTTGCCTGCCTTTGTTGCCGTTGTCGCTGACAAGTCGCTTAAATTGTGGCTTCGGCTGGATTTTTATTTTGTGTTTCTTGGGATATTCCCTTTTTCTTTTCTTTTTTTTGCCATGCTGGTTACGGGGGGCAGTTGATTTTCCATGCGCCTGGCATTTGATTTTGATGACGCGTGGCACTTTTGAAATTTATGCGCTACTCTAAACACACTTTGTATGCGCCCAATGCCACAAAAAAAAAAAAATAAGATGATCAACGGTCCAAGTATTTGTTCAAGCATCTACATAAATATATATGTGTGCATGTGTGTGTGAGAGAGAGTGTGTGTGTGTGTGAGTGTGTGTGTTTTGTATGAAATTTGAAGCTTTTAGCTGATTCGCTTCAGCACAGGTATTTCAAGCACGCGCCAACAAAGGAAAAAGGAAAGTTTCTTAAAATAAATTAAGACAAATATGAAAACGCTCCACGTAGCAGACTAATATCTACTTATAAGTATTATATATGATTAAAAGCCAGCAGACCTGATGCATTTGGGATAGATAAAGAACTAAGCATGAATTTAAATGAATAAGACGTACATTTTACAAAATAAGTCATTTTAAACAAGGTCAAAAATATACATAAAGAATATAAAGATCTCATCCCAGGTAGCTTTAAATTGGGACAGCTCTGGAGCAGTCTATTCAACATCTTTCACAATACCCCAATTGGCAATTTGATACGGTCTCGATGGGGCATTCAAACAACTGCCCAAATGTCCAGTCGTTCAACAGTTACAATCAAGCTGTCATCATCTGGTAAACAGCATATTTCACTGACAATTGGTTAGAGAGTCCTTGCCCCATGCTCGGAGAAGGCTCGACGCGATGGGAAACGGCGACGCCATAAATATGCTACACGAATATGTCATAAACTATTAGCAGCGATGTCCTTTCATATGGAGGCAGCTGACAAACTGTCTGTGCCACACAAAAGTTGCCACAACAAAGCTTGACATTCATTGGCAAAATTTGCTGGTGATGAGAGAGAGAGGCGGCGGCAGACAGTTTTTCTGCATGCCAAACACGTTCCAAAACATCTATCAAATTCCCCCAAAAATAAAAATAAATAAAATAATGATGATGCTGTTGATGTTGCTGTTGCCATTAAGAGTGCCCCGTTGTTGCATTGAAAATGTTTTTAAATTTGCAAAAATTTCGATTTTATTTACACATAGCTCGCGCAGACAACCGACTCTCTCTTAAGATTTGCATTTACATTAAGCTGTCTGTTGTATATCATTAGTATTATTAATATTATTTGTATATTATACACTTGAATAAGCATGCGCCAAGTATTCCAATACGGTTTTGAGTTGACTAACCTCTAATTTCTAATAGGAGCGTGTCCTTTGTCACACATACATATACACAACATGAGTGGAGCATGAGGAGGAGTAGGAGCAGGAGCAGGAGGAGGAACGGAAGAAGGATCAATTGCTGGTGGTTAGCTTCAGTCGCACCGCAATCCGTTTGCATTTCCACATCAGCTGCGTCTCCAGTATGCTGAAGGACATCGCGACCAGGACGAGTCCGAGCAGCAGATAAGCACAGCACGCATACAGCTGCACTTCGGGTCCATTGAAACTCCTCGCGGGCACAAAGTCACCGTAGCCAATTGTCGACAGCGTGACAAAGCAAAAGTAGGCGCCATCCACCAAGGACCAATTCTCCCAGAGCGCAAAGACAACGGTGCCCACACATATGTAGCACATGAGTATCAGCAGTACCAGACTAATGGGCACCTGTCGTTGCAGCGAGTTCTCCTCATCCTCATCGCCATCGTCATCGTCCACATCATCATCATCATCGTCGTCAGTGGCATTAACGTTGAGCTGCTCCAGACACTCCTGGGAGCGAGTGTTGCTCTTCTTCTTGAGCTTCTTGAGCACAAACTGTTCGCTGCCATGCTGCATAAAGTGTTCCTCGTCGTCCTCGGAGGTCTCCGTGTTAGCGGTGGCATCGTACAGCGTCCGTGTGCCGTGATGCTTCTGGCAGCGACGAGTCAACATCAGCGTCTTGCGATTCAGTGGCTGCAACGTGTGTCGCTGAAATGTTGCAGCTGTCGCATTAAGCAAGCCACGCGCTGGATTCCCCGGACCAGACTTATCCAGACCATGTGGCAGCCCATGGGGCAGGCTCAACGGTGCACCAGCACCACTAACAGCACACCCAGAGCTGGCTATCAGGGGCACACGTGATGGCGTTCCATGTGGGCAATTGCTAGAAACGAGATGAGCAGATGAACAGAGTAGAGCAGAGCGTGAGTAAATGTTCAATAAATATTTACGCTACGCTTTGGCCGTAAAAGGGAATCAATTAAATATATCTATAAGCAGGCAAGATCCACTCACAAAACGCAAACAGGCCACAGGCCATAAAAAACAAACGGATTAATGGATGGCTAATGCCCTGTTTATACTGTATTTCATTTAAATATTGGGTTTCTTAGGCAGGGATATTTTCAATGGTCTTCCATAGAGTTCATAAATAAATCTCGATTAAATAAATCATCGTCAACCAAATTTTAATATATATATATAATCCACACAATCGATTCCGATTCCACAAAACCTATATACTCTATTCCATTCGCAAGCAGGGTATAATAACGTTCAAGCACGTGTGTTTGTATGTGGCAACGGGTCACTTGGCCAATCAATAAACCATAAAAGTAACCAGTTTGGCTTCTTATACGTGGCGTATGGGTAATATTATATAGCGTATAGGTCAAGTTGCCTCCAGCTTTAAGGCAGATTGAAATGGCAGAAGGAACCTGACTGTGGGAACAGGACAAATGGGCGGTTCCAATGGACAAACACTTAGGGTCAGTAGCGGAACTGAGCAGGCTTATTACAAGAGCAATTTGTGCGATACGACAACAGTAACAAGGCGTATATTTGAACTTGGAGTGGTATTAGATAACTTAGTAGTTGTAACCAGTTGTTAAGTTAAGCTACGGTATTTTACATATTGAATCATCTATTAAGGTGTGCTTAGTAACTTATGCTTCTTAGTAACTAATATTTGACAACCCTCGATATATAATTAATTAAAAGGGATATAAACGGAATTTGCATTTGAGGTATGATTGATAAAAAGTTAATTACAATTCCAGTTATGCAACATCAATTCACTACTATTTCAATTATGCACTTTTACTATGTCAGTTATGTTTCAAACTGTGAGTTGAGCAAAGTTGAGCCTTTTGTGGTTTAATATAAGCAATATGAAAATCTACATTAAATATCAAATATTTAATAAGTGATGATTAAATTTCAACTATGATTGCTAAAAAGACAAATACACTTCCAGTTATCTAACCACAATTAATAAATATTTCAAACAATTTCAATTATGTTTTAAACTGTGAGTTGAGCACAGCTGAGCCACTTGCATAAACTGTGGCTAAAAATAACCTCTATGAAAAGCTAATGCTAATGCATATTGCTGTCTCACTTGAGTTGCACTCGACAGTGGCTAGCAAGTGTGCTTGGTCAAATCAATTTGTGGTGCGTTTATTGAACTTGTCTGCGCCAACATGAGCTGTGCAGGCAGACGCCTGGCTTGAGCCTGCTTTGGTCCTGCCAGCCGGGTCAGCTGTCAGCCACTTCGACTTGCACTTAATGTGCGATTGGCCGGCAGCTGGGCAAACTACAAGCAACATGGCACACACTTGAGAGCTTGTAAGTTGAGAGCCCTGCTGGGGCATACTCAAAGCGTCCTTGGGATTGGGGGAAGTCAACGATTTTGATTTAGGGCGGCAAGTGTTGAGAAGTGGCATTTGCTTAAAGTACAGCTCAAATTCGCCTCAACTTAAAGAGCAGATTAACAATATAAAGAGAGCTAGAGTGGGGAAAGGGAGGTGAATAGAAAGTGAACCAGCAGAATTCGTATGAAATTAATTGACCTGATTCATTTCGCAGCTCAGCTTACAATTAATTACCCACACACAGACACAACAAGCACACATACACACACACACAGTGGTTGTTCTGAAATTGAAGAAGCTTCGTTGAAGGTCCGCTGCCCAAACGCTGAAGGGAGCCAGCAGCTCGTGCACAGGTTCACTGTCAAAATTAATTACCAGCTGTTGGATTTTTATTAAATAAAATGCGAAAAATATGTATGAAAAAAAAAAACCAAATTCAGCAATGGTTGAAAGTGGTAAATTCAGGCAACCTGCCACTTGCCGCAGACGTGCCCACAAATGTTTTCATCGAGCGGGGGAAAAGGGTGTAGCGAGAGGAGTGGCAAAGTAGCCGCTGCAATGTGCAAGCAAAAATTCTGAAGTGTTGATTTAAAGTGCAGACGACGTGCAGAAAGTTTGTTTATGCAATGAAATTAACAGTTTGCTTTTTACCTCATGAAACTGCAAGCGAGCGAAGAGTGGCTGGAGAGAGCGGAAGAGGAGGGAAATGGGTCTGTGCCTGGCAAGCGTTGGATTAAAATTACATGCCAAGGAGAACAAAAACAACAACAGCAAGTTAAATTCAAGTCGAGAAAAACACTGCCACTTTTTAATGCCTCTGATTTTGTGCAATTTAAATTCTTAAATCAACGCAGCTGCGATTAGAGAGATGGGCAAGGTTCTATTTACTGGCGCTTAAACATATTCAAAACTTAATTTTTTACTGTGTAAGCTTTCAAATTCTTCAAGCTAATGTATATTTCTCAAAGGAATTCTGGTTTGCCTTGCTCAAACGGACCACCTGTAGTGAATTCATAATTATACAGAATGTGTATTGATTTGCCACATAAATATTTTGTGTTTGAATTTGATATTTCATTGACTTTTGCAAGCAACAAGAATCAGCATAGTATTTCTCATTTCATTTTGAAAATATAATTACTTCATTAACAGAAGTAATTTTCCTTGCAGCTTTGTGAAAGTTTAAGCCAAATATTTGTCAATTTAATTTTAATTAATAACTGAAATACCTGCTCTTTGTGGCTCTACAAATTGCTAAGCAAAATTAGTGCATTAAATGTGCGTTCATTTGTGGTCAGCCAACCAAGTGAATGAGTACACATGTTAACAAAGCTGAAGCCATTAGAGTCTGCCGCCAACCGCAACTGGCCGACTGGAGGCGTCTCAGTTTAACAAGACCAACAGCAGAAACCCCTAAATACCCGCAACTCTAGCAGACTCCCCAACTCCCCACACACACACAGAGACACACACACATACACATACCTTAAACGTTCACGCTCCTGTTCGTCCTCATCCTCCATGATGTCCACATTGCCACTTGAGCTGAGCAGCGCCGACAATGTTGCTGCAGCTGTTGTTGTTGTTGCTGTTGCTGCTGCTGTTGCTGCTGTTGATGCTGCTGCTGTTGTTGCAGTGACGCCATTGCCACAAACACCTGCGGCTATAAAACTGTTATCGGCCATTGTTGCTGCAGTTGCTGCTGATGTTGCTGTTGCCTTAATGCCTGCTGACAGTTGCATGTTGCTGTTGCTTGTTGCTGCCGTGTAACTTAACAATGCTGCTGCTACTGTTGTCGCTGCTGCTCCTGTTGCTGCTGTTGTTATTGTTGCTGCAGATAATGTATGCGGCAATAAATCATGCCGGCAGGATAAATCACTCGATTCTGCAGTGAGCAGCGTATTGATTTCATTCGACATTGGCTTCGACACAAACTTGGCGCGACGCACAGCTGCGGGGGAAAAAAACAGAGAGAGCAAAAATTAAACAATAGAAAAATCAGCAAAAATGTGTTGATTAAGTAATACTTTTAAACTAAATTTAAATATACAAATTGTTGAGCAGCACACCAAAATAGTCAACGAACTGCGAAAAAAGCAACTTTGTTTTGTTTTATTTTGGCAACTGCAACTTCCGAAAAAAAATAAACTGCCACACGACGTTGCAAACTTTGTGCAGTTGTGACCCTAAATAGGCATACCTACATTTATATATATATATATATATATATATACACATATGTGTGCGCATGTGTGTGTGTGTGTTTATGTTTTACTTAGTTAGTGAAATAATTTGGTTTTTGCATTTGCAAAAGTTTGGCGTGCAGTGGCGCAACAACATTTGTGCAGCGGAAGGTTTCAAATTTGCCAACAAAAGTTTGGCGTCGCTTGGCAAAAAGGCCAACAGCTGTAACAGCTGTTAGCTGGTTATGGTTGTCAGGTTTTCTTTTTGCATTTACTACCGCGATCAACTTTTAATACGCTTACGGCACATGGATAACACTAGCTAAACTTTCGAGCTTATTCGTGGTGTAAATACAAATTTAATAAATGATTATGTATTATTAGAAAGCATTTTATGTTCGCCTGTCCGCTTTAATTTATATTTATATATATATATATTTTTTTATATATCGAAGGTCAGTTTACTCAGGCATTCTTTTATAATCCATAATCCTTAATTATTCCATAAATTTCGACTTATTTCAGACAAAATTGGAATAATAATGCTTGACTATGTAAACTCTGATTTTTACTCTATTGTGGCAATAATAAAATTGTATTTTTCCCCTTTTGAGCCATTTAAATAGTTGGCAACTTTGGCAATTTGCAGTTCCGAGAAACGTACATTGCTCATATCGGAAAAGGAGGAAGTGAAAAACCCCGGAAGGAAACAGCTGTAATGGCATCTTTCACTTAGTCCCTGGGCGCACAGCTGCTGACAGAAGGCTTCCGCGTGGAGGGCTTCTGGCTGCGGTTCGCACAGTACATGGCCAATTTAAAAATATTTACTTAAACTTGGACGGCAACACACAAAAACACACACACATTCATATGAGTGTTGAATGCATTTTGTACATGGTTGGCTGAAATGTGGTTGTCAGTCTGTTGCAACTTTTTGTCGAGTGCTAATGGCGTGGTCAACCACTCTGGGGCGGGGCAACTGAAGCAATTGAAAAATATGGCAGGACAATGCTTTGGACGGGTTGTGTGTGAGCGTGTCCTTTGTGAATCGGTAGGTGGATGCCGCTGAAATAATTAATGTGCATATTGAAATGGCGAATCCATATTGACACATTGATTGCAATTTGTAGCTGCGAAGGATTCGCCGCCACTTGTGTTAATCTGTCACGTGTTCTGCGCAGCAAGTAAAATAACTTTAATGAGTTTTGCATGGCAGCAAAGAAGAAGAGGGTGGAGGTGTAGGGGGTATGTGCAGGCTGTGAAGCATCTTGCGAGGCATGCGGCAAGTGGCAAGTGGCAAGTCATCATTATCGTCAATAAAAAAATTGTCGCACATGTCTCGCCTTCGCCTCGAGTGCATGCTGTCCTTGTTGTCCTTGTCATGTCCTTGCCACGGCTTCGTCATGCGGCAGCAGTTGAAAACTTTTAATGCGTCATCTCTCTCCCGGCCCCCCTTTCCTCATCTCCCCCGCCCAGCCCCTTAAAAAATACAGGCCACAGTCGCTAAGTACGGCAGCTTAACTCTGTCATTTTAACACTATGCTCTGCCCCACTTAGTGCCCATTATGATGTTCGCCCGATAATGATGATTATAATGATAATGCTGCTGCTGAAAGCACTGCCAGCAAATTGTTACATAATTACAACACGAGCAAAATGAGCAAGCAGATAGATAGACAGATGGACGGACAGTTACACGGAGCACACACAGTACAACGGTGCGTATGATTGATGAATATCGGTAGCATTTGTGGCCTTCCCTCGCACGTAACTCGAAGCTCTTCGTGCTCCACAGTTTTGTGGTCTGTCATTGTACTTATGTGCAATATATATATATATATAAACATACAAAGCTGATGTGTTAATAATGAGTTTTGTATCTGTGGAGCTATAATTAAATATAATAATTTTCAATTTTTGGTTTGTTGGACTATTCTTCTCTTAATTTATACTAAAATATAATTCAAAGTAAAAGCATTTGCAGCTAGTGTTCCTTATTTAAAAGTAGAGTTGCATTTAAGGTTCAGGTTTAACCTAAAAAAAAACTGAAATTAAGAAATGTAAAACGTATTTTTTTTATTTTCAGAGTGAGTAGCTCTCCAGCAAAGTAAGTCAGATCTAAGGAAAAAGTTGCCTTAGGTCTTAAAGATCCAACTACAGCCCTACTAAGTTGCTGATCCATTCTATCACCTCAAGTTATTTTACTTACAATGCATATTGGCTGTTTGATAGGCAGGTGGCGGTGGCAATGTGATTGTCTCCAGTGTTGACGTTGTTGCGTCCAAATCGCCGCTGTGTCCACTGCCAGCTGCTGTTGGATGTGCATCTAGTGTGGCGAGCAGTCGATGTTGCTGCTGTTGCTGCTGTTGCTTGGCAGCTGGCTGCAAGTGTATCGTATGATACTTAACAAGTGGCTGTGGACTGGAGCCTGGAGCTGGCGCAAATGGAAAGTAAATTGTCGCCGTAGCTGGGGCAAAGCAATTTGGTGGTGCCATTGTTGTTGCTGGTGGTGGTGCACTGAAGCGCAGCATGCTGCTCGGCACGGCAACAAAATTCGGTGGCTGTTGATGTTGTTGGTGTTGGCGCGGCAAAGATGCTGTGGTTAATTGCTGTTGCTGATGCTGTGTTGCTGATGCGTTTATATAGTGCAACGACTGCTGCTGTTGCTGATGTTGCTGCTGTTGATGCTGCTGATGTTGTTGTGGCAACGGTGCATATTTCAGCAATGCATTGCCCGTTGTTGTTGTTGTCATTAGCATGACATCCGGCTGCTGCTGTTGGTAAAACTGCTGCTGCTGCTGCTGTTGGTATTGCTGTTGGTGCTGATGTTGCTGCTGCTGCTGCTGCATTTGCTGTTGCTGCTGATTCAACTTGCTTGGCATTGCATTGCGCAACAATTGACAGGCATCTGCATGACCATAAAGGACAATGGAAAGAGAGCATGCGAAAGTTGATTAACGATTTGCCAATTGTTATGCTGACAGTTCAATTTATAACCCAAGCCCCAACGCCAACCACAACTCCTTCAAAATCTCTGAAAGAGATTGTCTTTTGTTCAGACACCCACCTTCGGCTTGTTCCAGCGACAATTTGCGTTTCATTGTTGTCGTTGCCTTTTGGCCATATTCATAGCATTCATTCAGGCTCGTTTCACTATTGGCCGCATCGTATTTACAGCCTTTACAGCTTGCCTGCAATTAAAAGCCCAGTTAATTTATTAATGTCGCACAACAGTAATTTATGCGCAAGGGCGATAAGTAACTTGCTTATTTATACATAATTATGGTATTTAATACAGTAGTTCATGACAAATATGTTTTATTAATCGATATAATCACGAGCGTCTGTGGGGACCGGCAACTTCCTCATCAACGGCAAAAGAAAATCGTGTTATTTGAAAAACTTCTCTGACAGTCATCTGAGCTGAGAGCCATCAGAGTATTTGTCAACTTTCTTGCAGAATAATTATACTAATGATCGTTTACTGCCCTTATTTTCAAGATACATAAAATAAATGAAGCATATATTTTAAAATTAAAGAAAAAACATTTGCTATCCTTTTGCCTAATTTATATATACAGGTTGGCTAATATTCTCATTAGGCAAGTACACAAAATAATCAAACCGCAACACAATTAACTTTAACAAGTTGTTCAACATTTGGGAATAACACCTGAAAATTTGGGTTACTTTTGTCGAACGCTTGCAGCATTGAGGACTTAAAATGTCAATAAAAGTGTAATTTACAAATGCAAAATGCTGGCAGCCCTTGAATGACACACGTCTAAGTTGATGTCCTTGTTCTTATCACTGTTGCGGTTGCAAGCACAACGTTTCGTGTGGTTTGCTGCCACATGCGATTCCATGCGAGTCGAAGCGAAACGTTGTCATGTTGCCATCATGTTAGTTGCGGTTATGTGGCAGCATGATGAAACGGGGCAGAGGCAATCACACACACTTACACACCAATTCACACACACACACACACACACAGACATAGATAGCTGGTAGCACAAATGATATGCCACTGTGATTTTGTGGCTAGCCCAGAAAACCATTCAGAGTGTGCGTCATGATAATTGCAGAAAGGCAACAAGGATAACGACGCACGTTGAGGCTCAGAGGCACAATGCCAACGTTCAACGGGCAACGGGCAACGGTCAACATGCTGATAATAATTTAACCGATGAACGAACGCATTTGCCACCCCAGAGCCGTTAGCCACAGGGCTTATCAATTGTCCGAGTTGCCAAGGGAACCCCATGCACAGGAAAAAGGTCGAGCAGCTGTGATTTGCTAAGATTGAATTAAGCCCTAATGAGTCGTTAAATGCAAAAAGGATTTCTCGATCCTTGCGTCTTTGCCGAATGGAATGGAATTCAGTCAAGCAAAACATTGCGACGCAATGCAAAAAAAAAACTTGTTGAACAATTTTCCAACACACACTTTGCAAGTCTTCAACTACTTCAGCCTTACGAAAGCATGTTGCCAGTGTGGTAAAGTGCAAAACGTTTGACTTGGCTGCAACACGCTGCACTAATGTGCCTGTTAGGCAGTCAAGTATTGAAAAATCTAAAGTGTTCATACCACACAAAGTTCAAATGGCTCATAAGCCGTGTTAAAGAAACTTGAAGTTAAAATTGGTTTTAATACATTTAGTTGAAAGTACTTCAATTAGCAATTATAGTGCGCTTGGTTAAAATAATCAAAGTTAAGATAAGCACTATGCTTTTAAATCGCATAAAGTGGCTTTTTAGGTGAGGAAAAACTTTGCAAACACTTTCCTATTATTTACATGAAAAGATATTTCTCTTCTACTTGCAGCTTTTAAGCTGCTTTAAAGATTTTATAATATCGAAAATATTCATCTTAAGCTGCTTTAAAGTTATTTTTAAGAGTACTAATAGTAAATAAAAGCAAGCTTCACTTAATTAAAATTAGTTGTTTGCCTAAATTCTGCACAAATCATTTACATAATATTCAAGCGTAACCAATTAGTTGACCATTGCTTTCAACAAGCTAATATAAAAATGTATACATGCATAATTTCCCTGCCTGTTTCCCTGCCTCTCTGCTCAACTGTGTGAAAAGTTACAGTTGGCCGCTGTTTTCCATGGCGGCTCATAAAAAAATCAATTACATTTCGCGCAGTGTGCAACTGGGCAACGGGAAATGAAAAGTTATTGCACGCTTTTAGCTAGAACCCGTGTACTTTTGGCCAACTTTGCAATAGAGTATATACATACATACGTACATACACTTTTAAAGTGGGCAAACTCATTTAATTTACTTAACTTGGCACTTTCAGATCGCCCTTTGTGACCCAAGTCAATTTGCAAGTAGCGTCAAAGTTTTTGCAACGCTTAAATTGTCAGTTTTAAAGGTTGACAGACTTTCCAACTTTTCCGCGCTCGCTGACAGCGAGTCTAAAGTTTCTATTCATTATAGTCAGCGTGACCTGTAAAACACAGCAATAGTGGCAGTAGTGCGCAGCAAATTTCAGCTCAAAAATAAAGCAAAAGTTTATGTTAATGAATTCCAACCACGACGCTTAATTAAACAGCCATTTTTATATTTGACAAATGAGTAAATTTTACTCAAAAAAAATAACACAATTCGCTTATTTACCCTGAAACGTGCAAAGTTTTTCTTATGTATTTCCATGTTGTGCATTTTCATTTTTATGGCTGTGGTGAAAATCCAAATTAAACAGAAATTTTCGCAATAACAAATAAGCAAACATGCAAAGGGAGTGACAAAAAAACAAACATGATCGGACTGTGATAAATCAACTTCTCAAATGTGCACAAAACCGGAAATAAATATATTATAAAAAGCTGTTGAGTTAACTTGATGGACTAGAAAATATCCTAGACTAAATGTATACTATTTAAACCTTAGACGTTTAGATCTTAAAAAAGGTGTAAAGTCAAAGAGGAAGTTGCTGAATTAAATAAAAATACTTTAAGTCAAATCATTTGGCCAAAAATGTGCTTTCAGTGCATTAAGCCAAAGAGTAAAATATGCATATTTTTCCTTTTAAGCGAGAGTCTCAAAATCCTTTGAAGTTTTGAGGACACCTTTTATATCATAAGCAAACGGAATACATTCAAAATATAAACGGAACTCATAGCTCAGAGTTTAATAAAAATGTCAGCCTGGCTCGTAGATGGTAAACAAATGACTTACAAGACTTGTGCACGAATGCACAAAACATGCAAATGGCGGCTCAAAAGGAACTGGCCCCGAGATTCCACGGGGTCTACAAATTATATATGTGTATGGCGTGCCGGCCGAACGCGACATCAACCTTTTTTTTTATCAAATAAAGAAACCTAGCCTGATTTACCAGAACACAAAAAAATATATATTTCTATATTTGTACAACAAAAAAAAAAAGGAACAGCCACAATCTGGACTGTCCGCAATCTGCAGCACGATCCCAAAAAGTTCTGTGCGTTTTTTGTTCAAATCAATTACAAACTTTTAGCTTGCTGTTAGAAACCAAACAAATCCCCCACCAGAAATGGGTACCCAAACTTAAAAGGTTTCTCTTGTCTTAATTAAAAATCCGTTTGCCCTATCGAAATACAAAACCACTGCAAAATTTAAGTGCACATTTCTAAGGCAACAAGCATCGGCTCTCAGAAAGCAAAATACACAAAACTAAATTATTGCAAAATGTGCGGCAATATTAGCTTTAAAATTGAGCAAACATTTTTGAGATAGAATGCCGCATTCCTATCATAAAAATATACTTATTAAAAGCTATTGGCTGCATATACATTGATTGGCATATCAATAAAATGCCGATTATGAATTTGGAGTAGGCATTTTACGGAAATGTTTTTTTTAATATATTAAAAATGTCAAGAATTTCAATTAAGCGTTAATTAGACTTAATTTGTGTTATTTCTGTATTTTTGTTCGCGAACTTTTCACTTGCAAATCATAATAATAAATATGAACGATATTTTAATTAATCCGCTTCTTTTTTTTATAAATAGTTAGAAGCACATTCATAGTTATATAAAAACTTGAAGCAAATAAACAAATTTACCCAGCGAAAACATTTTGCATAGTAACTTTTTAGCAAACTACATGCAAAAGAATCGAACAACTTAAAAAGCTCAACTCGACGAAGTATACAAATAACTCAACTTTTCGATTTCAACTACGAACTGTACAAAAATCTCTTGGAAAAACTACTAACAATAAAGCGAATCACCAAAAAAAAGAAAGAAAAATTCAAGTCAGTCAGTGAAAGTTTTTTGGCCAACAATAACAACAGAAGTTGAGATTTTCCGCTCCAATCCCACCGCCAGTGTTGGTCAGTGGCCAAAACTGTGGCCATGAACAGTCAACGCAACAATTTCGAAACTTTTCTGCACGGTATTGCAAATACTTTGGCCAAGATTTCACCAACAGCAAACATTTCACAGTTACTTAATGCGAGAAGTCCGACAGCTCGGGCAATCGAGTTAAAATCCATAAAGAAGCCAACACGATAAAGTTACTGCTGCAGGCAGCTCTTGTTAAATCATATCAATCACATGCACTGTTTTACTTACCCCATTGCCAGCTGCATGACGTCGCTTTGTCAACGTGCCACTTCCCGTCCCCGTCCTCGTCCCTATACCAGTTCCCGCTCCCGCTCCCGTTGCCATTGTCTTCTTCTCTCCGCCAGCAGATGCCTGATTACGTTGCAGTTGGCAACACAGACGCATATAGGTGCACTGGAGCGCCTCGGCGAGCAACGCTCCCAAGCTGGACAAACACATCAGCATCAATGGGACACCGATGAGAGCATAGAAAATTGTCGCCAATTTACCAGCAGCTGTGCGTGGCGTCAGACTCCCATGACCTGGGTGTGCGAGTGTGTGTGTAAAAAGATGAGTGATTGGAGAGAAAACAGAAGCTGTTAGTGAGTGTTATATTACTTAGAGAAAAGGGACTTAGAGTTTCATATTTCAAAAGAAATGCATTTGAAAGGGTAGCATTTTTAAACGTTTATTTAAATTACAAATTGAACTGTATTTAGCAGTAATATTCAAATAAATAATAAATACATATATACAATAATCTGTAGCTTTAACAATTAAGTAAATTGCTTTACCGCAAAAGCTATTTACAGCATGGAAATTCTTAGCTTTTTTCTTGCTTCCTTCCTTGATTGCATTGCATTTAAAGTGCAAAGAAAATTAGCTTTCCTAATTGCAAAACTTCATTTGAAATTATAATTCGCTATTGATTTTCTGCTGCTGCTATTTTCTTTGGATTAATTTGTTAATCCATTTGCCACGCATTACCTCCTTAGCGCAGCTAACTGCGAGAATTGTGCTCAGCACTCAGTTCACTTAGTTGAACAATAACACTTAAGCTGCTCTTAATTTGCTAGACATAGTATTTGTACTCAACCACTTTCCATTTATTTTACAAACATTGAAGCGAACAGTAGAATTCATAATAAATATTTATATATACATATATCGAATGCAGACAACCGACATTAACCATATGCAAATATTTTGGCAGCACCAACAAGGCGTATACATAATATTCTTGCAAGCTGAGCTTGTCTGCCAGGCAGCTGCCTGTGTAGAGCGGATGCTTGTTGCCCATAGCAATGTAAATATTTGCAGTTATTACAGTCTACACATTTAAATGCCCCGCAGTCAAGAACTAAGCGATTTTAGATTAGTGTATTTTGCTGCTTACCAATAGTCGTTATCACAGTCACCGAGTAGAGTAGAGCCTCGCTAAATGTCCAGCTCTGCGTGTCGCCCACATCGTAGCCAAAGTGACCCAAAGCACTGGCACTGCCACCGTGGGCAGCAACACCAGCAGCAGCACCACCACTACCACCTGGACGCGTGGCAGCCACAATGGAGCCTTCAAAGCGACGCAGCTGCTCGTGAACCAGCATCGTCCAATTGCGCTCATACAGAACGTTCAGTTTCTCTGCAATTAAACAAAACAAAAACAACAACAACAAGAGCAAACAATTAGGTCAACATCATTTGGTGAGACTAAAAGCAAAGCGAGAAAAGGAAACCTTTGCAATTATGCAATTTTTTATAAAGTACACGGATAACCTTTGTTACCCCCCCAGGCCCTTTGCACAAGTGTCGCACTTGGCAATAGAGAGCAGCCCTCCTCGCATTGATTTGACTTTGTCTTGAGGCGCTGCTCGCATTTGATTTTGCCTCAACAGCAAATTGCCGAGGTAGCTGCCACAGCTTGTTAACAACAACAGTAACAACAACAGCAATTGTTGCCAACGCCCCCACTCAACGCCATTTGGCCTTGACTATGCATACACCCTCGCCCACGCCCACTTGCACGCCCATGCCCCAGGGCTCAATTTACCTTCCACTACATAACAATTTCAGCTGAAACGAATGAAACACTCAATACTCTGGGCCTGTTGTGTATTGGCAGAGAGACATCCTTGCCAAGATGCAAATACTACAACAACAACAAAAACAAAAACAAATGGGCTTCGTGCTTAAGTCAATCTACTATGTACTCGTAAATATTTATATATACATATATGTATGTATATAGAGCATATATACTCGACTCTACTCTGTACTCATCTTAATAGCAAATGAATTGAAACTTTCTTTCAGCTTTTGGTTTTGTTAGTCGCAAGAATGTAACTCAAGCACTTAACGTGATTATATGTGTAATTTGAGACTTGCAGATGCCACCAAATTCGTTCGGTGTAAACTTTATTGAAGTTTCTGGGGAAATTTGATCTATGTGAATGATTGAAGTAGTATCCATTATTGCAAGTAATTTGTTTAATAGTAAAAACTAAACTTTAAAGCTTGAAAATAAATAAGAGAGCCAAAAAAATGATATGCACTTTATATTTTCATAAAAGTCGGCTAATTTCTCCCGAGTAAAGAAATCATTACTCTGTGCTTACAGTAAGCTCCCTTACTAAACATTAGCTTATTAAGAAACTATATTAATCTTATCATTATAAATATTAATTAAATTTGGCTTACAGTGCTTAAAGCTTATTTGAGAGCTGTGGTGTCAGCTGGAATTAGGAATTTGTCAAATAAATTGAGCCAGCTAATTGCAAAATGTAAGCAAAGAGATGCTTGACATAATTAAATACATAGTCTTGTATATTAATCATACGCCAGGTGCGCCATTCCTCAGCGCAAAATGCGCGTAAATTAATTAGTTTTCATTAAATCACCGTAAGTTCAAAGCAACACACAGACTAAAGAGACTACGTTTGAAATTTAAATTAATATCTGCAAGAGCATAAATTAACACAAAGCTTAATTTTTCTGCTAAGCAATTCTTGAAGCATTTAGAAACGATTGTCTGATGCATATAAAAACATGCTTAAAAAGATGATAAGTTTAGTTTAGATTATTTTAAACATTTTTGCAATTGAATTACCAAATTTTTCTCAATTAGCCACATAAAGCCAAATGAGATTGTACTTTAATCAAGACTACTATGGAAGTTGACTGCCCGCAAGTGTAGCTGACAAGGTAATTAATTTAAATTAAATCACAACAACAAACTAACTATTGTTAAAGAGAAACCACTATATACAAAAAAATATGCAAGAGTGGCGAAATTATTTTCTGTGGCTAACCAAATATTTGGCTATGAAAATATGTTGTTATTGTTCAATTTTATATATTGGAAACTTACATTCCCGGCGAGCCTGTTAGTGTGAGTTTATTCATGTATGTGTGTGTGTGTATGTGATGTAATTTTATTTAAAATATTGATATTTGTTTGGAATTAAAGCGGTCAGAATGCATTTGCACAGCAAGTCAAGCGTAAAATACCCAAGGCACATTTTTGGGCATAAGTCATGTAAATAATCGGAAAACGATTTTGCGCCTCAGTCAACTTACCCGTTATGATCCACAGTTCGCGCAGACAATCCTCACGGCTCTTGGCTATGGCCGCCGATTTGCTCAGATCCTGTGGCGCCTCCAGCAACGGAAAGATTAATGCGCCCAGCACCGAGTATCCTGTGACCAGCAGCACAAGTCCTGGCGTCGAGAGCAGCAACTTGAGCAGCTGCCCCAAGCAACGTTTGGAGGCGTCTCGTTTGGCTAATGCCGTTGACTTGACACATGCCTGCTGCTGGTGGTGCTGGTGGTGTTCCACGTCCTGCTCGTCGTGCTCCTCCTCCGTGTGTTGTGCGTCGTGATCGTCTTCGCTTTGATTGCATTTGAACGCCTGCTCAACGTCACACATGATCGCTGTTGCAGTTGTTGCAGTTGTTGCACGCTCTTCTTGCTAAGAAACATTTAGTTGTTGTCTTGTTGGCTGTTTTGCTTGCTTGCTCAGTTTTATTGGCCACTCAACTTCCGTTTTCGCCTCAACTTATGATTCATGCTGTGCTCTGCACTTTGTCAGCCATCCATCCATCCACCAACTAATTACAACACTGCTTTCTCATCATTTCTGCCTGATGCTTTGTTTGTGCTGGTAAGCCGCTCTATCTCTTCTCCCCCACACTGTCTGCCCCTCTCCTTTCTCTCTGATTTAACGTATTATGTTTTAAGCTGTTGTTGACTCGCTTTTACTGTCGTAGTTGTAGTTGCAGTTGCAGTTGTAGTTGTTGGCTGTTGCTGACATCGCATTTTCCATTGTTGCCAATCCCTGCACTTGGTTTGTACTTTTAAAGTTGTTGTGCCAGTTTAGTTTCCCCTCCAGCTTTTCCACTTTCCACTCTGCGAATAGAAAAAAAAAAACAAAACAAAGGTTGCATTGTAATAGTTGTTGCTGCTTTTGCTGCAGTTCTTGGCTGCCTTTGCTGAAGTGCACTTGGGCGCAAGTTAAGCACACAGCTTGCAACTTGCTACTTGCAACGCACTAAATTTGACACTTCACTTAATCTAATTAGTTTACTCTTAAATGCCACAATATTATGAGCGAGACAACGAACTGCTAACTAAAAGCCTTATGACTGTTATTAATATGGCTTTTAATATAATATAAATAGCTTTAAGGGATGCAAATAATTGTTTAACGGATTGCCTAGTAGCTGAAAGTAAATGGAAAATTAAAAAAATTAGTTTACAAATACAGAAAGGTGACTGAAGATAAATCAAGTACATTTTTTGTGCTAATGTTCAGATTATGGAAATCCACTTGAAATACAATAATAAGCTGAAAAAATGATTAAAATCTTTATTAACAGCTAGCCATGGCCTTCACAAAAACCTTCCACGAACTTGAACTGATATTAAACGAGTTCATTAAAGTGTAACGCAATCAATTTCGTAGCTCAAATATTTGATAAACATTAATTTATTAGCGTTCGAGTTTGAATTTCGGCCGAAACGTGACATGTTTTTAATAATCTTTATAGATATAATATTTATACTACATTAATTTTAGCTGCAGACATAACTCATAACCAAGAAGTTCTCTGTAATGCCCTGTAATGGCCTGCTCGCACTCGTAGAAGATTATACTTATCTCATTTGGCTCATTTAGCTTGGACTCGTTTCGATTACAAGACGCTTACAATGGGCCAGACATTATCGATTGGGCTATTAGAGAGTGTGGCACAAATGCGATAACAATGCCAGCACATGTAATACAAATTGAACTGAATTAACAATTGTAATCGAACGAGAGTATCAAGCACTCACATTTCCACACACACACAAAACAAAGCCCAATTCATTAAAGAATCTGACGCTGTGGCTAATAATGAGCTTAGAGTGTTGCCAATGGAATCAATTAAAGCCAGACACAAGAGGGGAAGGGGGCAACAAGAATTTACCATTTTGGGGAGGAAGCCACACTCAAATACACCGATTAGTTGAGTTCTTGTGGGGTTTGTCCGTATTTATTGATCTCTGACGCTTGCATCATCATCAATGTTGTAAAGAGTTTTTTTTTTTTTTTTTTTGTTATTACTCAGCCAAAATCCGAGCTGATTTATTTGGATAAGCAGCCTGGGCAGTTGGCTTATGTAATTTAGTTAATTGGAAAATAAAATAGTCTATTTTTGGGGTTGGGGCTTAAGTCACTTGGCGCCTTAACAAAAGCCACTTGTTTTCCTTTTTTCATTTTCTTTATTTGCGTCGTCCTCCTTCTTTATGGCCAAGTGCGCATAATTAAATTTGCGGCTAACGTGGCGTATGCGCCACTTGACGAGGGACTTTGACTTGGGGACTGAAGAGAGCTACTAATGCAAAATTAATGTCAATCGCTTGGCCCGATGTCAGCATCGACAACATCAGCAAGATGGCAATGCCCTTTTAATTGTGGCTCTTGTAACCTTTGAGCTTTCGTCGACGGCACGCACACGAATCAAGCCAAAGGAGCAATCCTTGAGGCGAACGGAACCCAACCCGGTAAAGAGGGTAAAATGTGTGCCGGAAGTTATCCCTTTTAGTCAGATTGAAATCAGCTTAGCTCCGGCTCTTAATTGAAATGTTTGCATTTCACTTTAATTAAAGTGTTTTTCCGAGCAAAGCTCTTCAGCACGCACAGGACTTTTTTTTGCTGATTTGTTGTTGATTTCGAGCGGCAATTCTTTTATTTCTCTTTGTTTACATTTTTCATTTCATTGCGCGCCGTTTTTCGCACGTCATTTTATGAAGTTTTGCTGCAAAAAGTTTTTAATAGTTAAATAAAACAACTTTCTTTGCCCTTCTGCGCATACCTCAGAGCCTGAGTTGGCTGAGCTGGCGTTTTCCATTCATTTCCGGGACCTTTTCATTACCACGTCTGTTGGGGCCTGCCCTATTATGCAATATTTATTATTATTTATAAATGCAATGACAACAAGCACACTTTAATTACAATTTTCTTCTTCATATTTTTGATTTTTGTTTTTCTTGCATATTCTCAACTCATCAAATGCAGCAGCCACAGGATGCGAAATAAACGACGTCCGAGCAACGCTAATGGCGCTAACCTCCATCTCAGCAGCTCCAGCGCTCTTTTTAAATCCAATTTTCCTTCATAATTTTATATCCAGCCAGAGCAGGCAGCCACCAATCCCCAGCCCCCAACGACGTCCAACAAATTCTGTTTGCTGTCTTCTTTGCTCATTGGTTGTTGTGCGCGCTGTCTGCGTCGTCTGTCGTCTATACCCAATTTAATTGCATCGCTGACATTTAGCACCAAGCAAACCAAAACAAAACATGAAATTCAACGACATGCGGGGAGAGATGCACAAGAGAGAAGCACAAGAGAGAAGCAGAAGAGAGAAGCAATAGTGCGAAGTGAAGCTTAAATAGGATTTTGGTTTCTGGTCGCCTGCTGCATTGATTCCTGTGCTCTTTGCTCTCTGGTCCATGTTCAGCTAAGTCGAGTTCCTGTTAGTCACTTGTTTAATTGAACTTGACTCATAGCACTCCCCGTTTACTCCCCTTCACTATACCCCTTGGAGTCGTGTAAACTGTTTTACAATACACGCGATTCCAATTTGCTAACGCTTCTCGGTGCAGCAGCAAATGTCATTGAATTGAATGGATTTAGCTCCCAATTGAACTGCTGCGCTGTTCAGATTTGCCTCCCCCGTGTAACTCTTGGCAGTTGTGCTGTATTCTATCTTTCTCTTTTTCTTTTTAAGTCGCCTGCTCTTTAATGTAATTACATTAGCAACTACAAACAAAAAAGGGCGCTTAAGTAAAAATTACAACAATGGAAAGTTGGTAAGCCCGAGAATGCTTTTCAGATAAAAAAACTATACTCATATATAATTAAAAAAAAATTACTTTGAGACACATCTGTATCTTCACCTTGATGCTTTGGGTCTGTGAATTAACCTTATCCCCTGTCTTACAAATAGTTCACAGTCATCCAAAAATAATTTATGGAACAACGACCATCTGGGACACAGTTTAAAGTGACAATCTGGTCATTACCAATCTCACATGCCTGTTTAGTAGAAAACCCATAGCAAATTTCTAAAAACAATTAAATGGACAAGCCCTAAAAGTTTAATGAAATGTAAAATTATACGGTGAACCAGTGGAAAAGCAAAAGACACGTTAATAAGTTAAATTTATTAGTATATTCTCTGCCCCTCATCTCTAAACAAACAGCATAATTTTGTGCAGTCAAGTGTCTATAATGAAAATTAAATGCGAAAAGCCGTGGAACAACAGACAGAGCAAGGATTTGCCCGGATACTAGGATGTACACTTGCGGGCAGGAAGGTAACGAACCGTGTACGGAACTTTTAACACATTAGCCCAGTGAATGCGACTACAAAGGTGTGAAAAAGCAGTAACAGCAGACAACAAATACGAAAAACGCCAACAACAATAATAACAACAACAATAGCAAGGACTGTAACAATACCTAATAACTATGCAATTGAGAGCAGGCGGAAGGAAAATACTTGAGAACACCACAAAGCCTCCAACAAGCATCCATAATTTATTGTAAAAAGTAGAAGGCTGCCTCTGCTAAAACATTAGATGCAAAAGCCCAAAAGGATAACAACGGATAATGACCATGTTAATGCAATACAAAAGTGCACTGAAAGGAAATGAGCAAGATAAGTAACGAGGCCGTCATCCCACATAAAAAATAAAAAGTAAAGAAAAAAGAAACGTCCAAAAGTCGCAACACAAAATGTTCACCACTTTGGCCTCAAAAAGTTTACCCAACGCAAAAGCAAACGATGCTCGGACGCAGAACCCATCCATGCTCATTAAACACGCACAACTTGACTGCAACAGTCTTAATTATGTTCTAAGGACTTGGCCCGTCTAAAACAAAAATAAAAAGCGGAAGCAATAACTAACGGGGTTAAAAAGAAGATTAAATACCCTACAATATTAGTTTAGAATGGAAAAATGCATTATATTTGCCTAAGTAAGTCAATATTTTTATTTATTTACTCAACAAATAATGGCAAAAATAGGAATATATACAGATGATATTAATTGAAGTTCACCGAGTGTTTTTAACTAATGAAGAGGTTTGAATAGCTTCTATATGTATAAAAATGTCTCCTCCAAAGTGTTGCATATCGACTGCCATAGTTAATATACCCCCTGTTAGGGTATCAAAAATAAAGAAACAAGTTCAAGCAACACAATCAGCGCAGAAACTTGCAAGACGCTCGTCGCACTTTTACCGACGCTGATTAGTTTTTGGAGTGCCTCAAGTGCAAGCAGTCAAGCAGTTCGTCAGTCCATCAGTTTGTCAGTCCGTCAGTTTGACAGTGGCCGCTGGTCGAGCATGTAAACTTTGCCAAACAGCCAACAGACAACAACAAAAGCAGCAACAGCAGCAATTTCTGGGCCATTCTCTGTGCAACAAAAACTCATTAAAAATCGCGTAATGCAACTGCAGCTGCCACGTAAATATAAAGCAGCAACAACATCAACAGCATCAAGAATTCTCTCAAAAGCCAAGTTAAAACCTAACTAAATGCAAAATGCACAATAATTAGAGGCAGCATTTAAAACACGCTCATAAAAGCAGCTTTTGTGGCTTAATAACCAAAGTTAATATTAATGAGCAGGCTGAAATAAGGCAAGGTGTGCTGCAAAGTTAACATTCTTTGAATATAATACACTCTATATTAAATATTATGTTTAATAACTTGATTTACTCAATAAATGAGCAAAGAAATCTCTGCCAAAACCTACATATTTTTCGAATGCTTTACGAATTTACTCTCTTAATGAAAAATGTATGTTTGTTGAGTCAACAAATCATTGAAAGCCTTTAAGCCAATTGCATTTTCCAC